ATGGAGGTTCCTCAAAAAGTTGAAAATAGAGCTACCCTACGACCCAGCAATTGCACTACTGGGTATTTACCCCAACAATACAAATGTAGGGACCTGAAGGGGTACGTGCACCCCAATGTTTATAGCAGCAATATCCACAATAGCCAAACTGTGGAAAGAGCCAAGATGTCCATCAACAGATGAATGAACAAAGAAGATGTGGTATATATATACAATGGAATATTATGCAGCCATCAAAAGGAATGAAATCTTGCCATTTACAATGACGTGGATGGAACTGGAGGGTGTTATGCTGAGCGAAATAAGTCAATCAGAGAAAGACATGTATCATATGACCTCACTGGTATGAAGCATTCTTAATCTCAGAACCAGAGTTGCTAGAGTGGTAAGGGGTGGGAGGGATGAGGTGGCTGGGTGATAGACATTGGGGAGGGTATGTGCTATGGTGAGCACTGTGAATTGTGCAAGAGTGTTTAATCACAGATCTGTACCTCTGAAACAAATAATACATTATATGTTAAAAAAGGAAAAGAAGTAGATAGCAGGAGGGGAAGAATAAAGGGGGGAAATCAGAGGGGGAGATGAACCATGAGAGACGATGGACTCTGAGAAACAAACTGAGGGTTCTAGAGGGGAGGGGGTTGGGGGGATGGGTTAGCCTGGTGATGGGTATTAAAGAGGGCATGTTCCACATGGAGCACTGGGTGTTATGTGCAAACAATGAATCATGGAACACTACATCAAAAACTAATGATGTAATGTATGGTGATTAACATAACATAATAATAATAAAAAAAAGAATGAAAAATAAAAGATCTTATTTTCCCTCCACTTACTTTTTTTTCTAATTTCTTCCTTTCTTCCTCTCGATCCAACTTTCTGAACTATATTTGTTCCCTTCTCTATGAAAAACTTCATTTAACATTTCTTCCAAGACAGGTCTACTGGTAAGAAAAAAAAAAAATCCACTCAGTTTTTGTCTGAGAAAGTCTGTATTTCCTCTTTACTTTTAAAAGAATAATTACACTTAATTCAGATGTCTAAATTGATGGATTTTCTTTCAATATGAAATATTTCACTATACTCTCTTCTTGCTTGCATGGTTTCTGAAGAAAAGTCTGATAAAATTCTTATCCTTGTTCCTCCATAGATAAGGCATTCCACCCCCTGGCTCCTTTCAGTATTTTTTCTCTGTCTGATTTTCTGCAATTTGAATATGATATGCCCACATGCAGATATTTTCTGTTTTTATCCTGTTTAGCATTTGAGCTCCCTGGACCTATGATTTGGTATCATCTGTCATTAATTTTGGAAAATTCTCAGCCATTATTACTTTAAATACTTCTCTTCCTTTCTCTTTTTTCTTTCTGGTATTCTTATTACCTCTGTGTTACCCTTTTTTTGTAATTTTCCACAGTTTTTGGATATTCTGTTGAGTTTTTCCAATACTATGTGCTCTTTATATTTACATTTGCAAAGTTTCTATTGACATATCTTCAAGCTCACTATTTCTTTGGTGTAAAAAAGCATTCATTCCAGTTGCAGTGTTTTTGTTTTCTTTTCATTCTTAAAGTTTTCATCTCTTATATTACACATCTTGTCTTGGATGTTAACTTTTTCCAACAGAGCTCTTAGCATATTTATGATAGGTATTTTAAATCTGAAGTCTGATAATTCCAAAATCTCTACCATATCTGAGTCTGGTGCTGAGGCTTGCTTTATCTCTTTAGATGTGTTTTTTCTTGCCTTTTAGTGTGCCTTGTAATTTCTTTTACAAGCCAGAGATGATGTATCAAATAATAGGCACTGTTATCAGCAGGCCTTTAGTGTGAGATTTTCTTTTTACCTCACCAGAAGTTAGGTTGTGTTTAACATTTGCTGTAGCTGTAGGTGTCATAGGTTTCAATTTCCCCTAATGTCCTTTCTTCTGCCTCCTGTTTTGTCTTTGGATTTTCCTAAAAATTCCTTAAACAGTGTCTGTGTCTTGCAGCTCTCTCAGTTGTAATCCACTGTTATTGTTGGAACACTTTTAATATGGTCATCAGGTATTGGGAAGTGGAAGCACTCTATACTCGTATGAGTAAATCTTCATTTTTAGTGAGCCAGGATCCCGGGACTGTAACCTTCAGAGAAGTTTTGTAACCCTTTCCCCCTCTCCCCCCTCATGAGAGACAGGAAAACTAGAAGGGCCTCAAATCACCCAATTGCTCTTCTTCCAAGTCTGATAAAGCTCTGATAAAGATGTTTACCTAGAAGGCTAGTCTTTATTTCAGAGGCTCTGGGCATGTTTCATAATGGCTAATTTTTTCCCTCCCCTTGCCAGAAGCAAGAGGAAATTTTTCTCTGATCTTTACTGCGAGAACCTAGCAGAACTCCTGAAGGTAAACTCCTGAAGTTATGGGTGCTCCCCGGACACTGGGTCCTCACCATTACTGTTGAAGAGCCCTCTACCCATTACTGGCTCTAGTGGTCATAAGGTATGATTCTCTGCATTCACCTACCTCTGCAGTTTTCAGGGAGGTGATTTACCTTATCACCTCAATTATCTGGTATATCTAAGAAGAGTTGCTGATTTTCAATGTGTTCAGCTTTCTTCTTATCCTGATGACAGGAATGATAATTCCCAAGATCTTCAAATGCCATAGCAGAAACCAGAATCTTAATAATATTTTTAATACATTTTATCTTTTGACCACATAAAAGGATGAAGTACACAGACCCTATTATGTCAATAATAATATATATAAGGAAACAGGTTTAGAGAGATTAAATGACTTTTCCAGAGATGAATGGCTAGTATATGAAGCTAACTTGGATCTTCTAGTGCCTCCCCAAACTCTTCCCATATAGACTTTTATGTTTAGACATGAATGCATATGAAACAACTTGAAAGAAGAATCTTATTTTAGTTTAAGCAGAGGATCATCCATGTTTGGGTTGGATCTGTAGCATGATGTGAAAAGCACTGGACCTGGAACATCCTGTAATAAATGTCCTCAATCCTGACTCAGCCCCCAACTCACTTTAAGATTTTAGGAAATTCACAACAATGTGAGTCTCAGTTTCTCAAAGTGAATCTGAAGCAAGAATGAACCACATGATCATTGAGGTCTCCTAAAATCATGAAGTGAAACAATTCTAGGTTGGATTTAGGCCCTATATTTTGGGGGAAGAGAGAGTTTATAAGGAAAGGGGAACTTGTTTCCTCAAAATTTTTCTGAATTCTGAATTTTTTAATTAATCTCTTCCCTTAGGTGAAAAGCCTTAGCTTCCTTAATTCTTTAAATGACATAATATTTTTCCTTCCCATCTGCTGCTTACACTATTGGGTTTTTTTAAATATTTTATTTATTTATGTATGTATGTATTTATTTAGAGAGCATGAGCAGGGAGGGGCAGAGGGAGAGAGAGAGAGAGAGAGAGACAATCCCAAGCAGGCCTCACACTCAGCATGGAGCCCTGAGATCATAACCTGAGCCCAAATCCAGTCGCCTGCTTAACCGACTGAGCCGCCCAGGCGCCCCTGCTTCTTTCACTGTTGTTTATGAATATGAGTAATGTTTAAGGCAGGACTTCCTTCCAGGACACCTCATCTTTGGGCAGTCCTCTATGCTTTCTTCCTCTTGTAACTCTACAGTCATTACCAACTACTGAATTGTTTCTGTTAACTGTCACTTCCTCAGAGAGGCCTTCCTTGATCTCTTAGACTAGGACAGAACCCAGCACTTCCCCTTTTCTGAACTTATTTGTTCATATCTGTGTCTCTTGCTGTTCTGGAATCCATATGAAGGTAGGACTCCTCTAGGTCACTGCTCTACTCCCAGGGCTCTTGAGTCCAGAACAGTGCTGTCCAACAGACCTTTCTGCAATGATAGAAATGTTCTGTAATCTGCACGTTTGACTATTGAGCACTTAAAAAGTGTCCAGTACAAATGAACCACTGAATTTTGATTCTAATTTGAATTCAAATAGCCATGGGCAGTTAATGGCTACATACCCGACAGTGGAGGACTAGAGCAATGTCTCAAAATCTAAATCAAGATGTCAGGATATCTGTATTTTAACTCATTCTCCAGGTGATTCTTCCCAGCAATAAAATTTGACTATTGATCTAGAATGTGATTCTCAAGACTGGCTACACATTAGAATCACCTGGAGGAGAAAATGATTCCTAAGCCACATTTCCAGAGATTCTATTTCAGCTGGTCTGCTGTGGGGTCCAGGTATTTGTATTTTAAAAACTAAACAAAACAGAAAATCTCAAGTTTCAGAGGCCTAGAACATATGTTCTTACATGGTACTCAGTACCTATTAAATAAATACACAGAAAAAAGGGTCCGGGTGCATTTAGAAAGGATTAGTGATTACAAGTGAAATCTTGTGATGGCACAAAGATGTTAGTGACATTAGTGGTTCAGATGAATCTCTTGATGGTGATAACAAGTTCAGCTTTAGATAGCCTTTTATGATTGTATGAAATTCCTTGGCCTTTTGATTCATCCATAAACAGTACAAATACTGCCGAGCTCAGTGACATTTAGAAGGTGACATGCACGGAGCTCCCTGAACAAGCATCTCTTCAAATACACAGAAGCCTTGGGCACCTGGGTGGCTCAGTCCTTAAGCGTCTGCCTTCAGCTCAGGTCATGATGATCCCTGGGATCGAGTCCCACATCGGGCTCCCTGCTCCGCAAGAAGCCTGTTTCTCCCTCTGCCACTCCCCCTGCTTATGTTCCTGCTCTCGCTGTCTCTCCTTGTCTCTGTCTCTGTCAAATAAATAAGTAAAATCTTAAAAAAAAAAAAAAAAAAATACACAGAAGCCTTTCTAGTTTGCTGGTTGATTGACACACGGTCTGAGGACCCCTCCTCAGGGTCACGTGAGTCACAAGACCATGCACTCCTGCGTTGCAGCTGGAGGAAGGTGTTTCCCAACCTGCTGCCCTGGGCGGCCTCCAGGTCTCCTTTATTGTAGCGCCCCGCCTCTTCCGCAGGTCTGTCCCTAAGTGTCCCCGCAGGAAATAATGGCTGGCCCGGCAGCCAGGTCGCGCCGAGGCAACAGACCTCTGGGTAATAGGTGCTAGATAGAGCCCTCCCTTCTCCCGCCCAGTCAAAGGTAATTTGTCCCGGCAGGAAGTAAAGGCCCGCCGGGCTGTCCCAGCAGCTGGGGGAATAGGCGGGTGCAGGCTCCGCAGCGGCGCAGTGCAGACTGATCGAGTGGGTGCTGAGCGGGAGGGAGTTTCAGCGCCAGCGCGAGCGCAGTGAGTACAAGCAACTCAAAGAAAACCCAGTAGCTTTGCAGCGGAGTGTCTCATGATTTTTTTCAGAATGCGCTGATGCTGATTAAAAAGAAAAAAATCAAAGCTCAGAATAAGTATATTCAAGCCCTGAGAATTTTAGCCAAGATGCTGGCAGAGCTTGCCAGGAGAGTTGAGGAAATTAACATGAAACTAAAACTGAAATCTTAGTTGCCGTAGAACAAGCATTATTGATCAGAACGTGCCAAGTACTAACAAAAAAAGGTGTACATAGAAGTTTAAATTGACAGGAAAAATTGAGAGAAAAAACATTTACTAATAAATGAAATAAAAGTATAAAAATGAATGAATGTAGTTTAATAAAATATCAGAGGACACTTGAAAGCAAGCATTTCAAAACTACTTTTATTTAAGTGATTCAAGTCTGACCTAAAAAGAATTGGGAGTAATGTGCTAAAAGTGATATTGCTTTACTTTTGCATATAAATTTTTTTGACTTAGAAAGGTAGATTCTTCCTTAAAGATAGTGCATAATGCCAACTTGCCAGCCCACACTGAAATTAGATCACTTGATTTCTGAAACATACCAGAGCTGTATGCAATAAATTTCATTTATTTGCTGGTAATAACTTTAATTAACATTGATAATGTTCACTCAGCAGGCAAAATGTAGTTCATGCACTCTGATTAGCACTTCAAATTATTACTTCAATTGGAATGAAATCTAAGAGGTTTAGGGCTGTCAATAGTCTTTAATAAAGCCATCTTTTCACTAAAATAATTTGCCACTTCTGAAAGTTAGGCACTCTCATCAGTGTGCTTATACAGGTTTTGTTTCACTTTGCTTATTGTAATTTAAACGAAAAAAAATTTCTTAGCTATCACTAAATCATGCATCTTCTTAGTCTTGTGATATCCTTCCCAGATAACTCCAGTTCCTCTGACCTACTATAGTTTTGATATCTTAGCAGCAGTACACCTGCTTGACTCTTGAGTGATAGTCCGTGTAAGCCATTGCAGGGCTAAAACTTTCTTTGTGCCTAATGGTAAGACTATTATTTTTATTGAAGTAGTAGTATTGTGTCAGTGTTTCAATATGTCTCAGAGTCTCTTCCTCAACTACATCCCCAAAGAGGATATTGTCTTACCAGCATTTGTTTTGGTTTGTTTTAAGAAAGCACATACAATTTCAAATAGATGTTTTTCTTACTAAGATTTACTGAGTAATTTTGATGTTATCCCTGTTTTCAGTTAAATTGTTCTTAATAATGCCAAAAAATATATATTGTAGGTAGTTCTATATTTAATATTCTCTGCAAGAACACATAAGGAACAAAACATGGAAAAATGAAAACACCTTTTTTTAAGATTTATTTATTTATTTGAGAGAGAGAGAAAGCGCACCAGCGCGAGCATGGGCGGGTGCAGGGAGGGGCAGAGGAAGAGGGAGAGAGAATCTCAAGCAGACTCCCCACTGAATGTAGAGCCCCATGCAGGGCTCGACCCCAGGACCCTGAGATCATGACCTGAGCTTAAAATAAGAGTCAGACACTTAACTGAGCCACCCAGGTGCTGCAAAATACCTTTAAAGTAAATATTGTGAAATAAAATAACAAGGAAAGGTGATTTCAGATGTACTTTATTCAACACACATCCATAAGAAGTCATCACAACATTAAATTTGGAGGGAAAAAAGACTGGATTGATTAACTTCCATTCCAGAAGGCTTAAGGAGATGAAGTGAACCAAAAAGTCAATGTACAAAATATGATTTCAAAATGGTATTGTGAAAAGACTCTGATTACCTCCTGTGATAAAATGACTCTTTTGTGTTATTTTTTTCTCATGTAGATTATACAACTAAAAGAGTGAACTATGTTCAATAGCCTTTTCTAATGTTATGAAAAATGTCTGATTCTTGGCTATTTGTGGTTTGGGTCCTTCTCTTCACAGGGAACCAGAACTTTTTAATAAGCTTAGCAGTGCTGTCCAATAGAGCTTCCCGTAATGTTGGAAATGTTCTATAATCTGCACTGTTCAGATAACTACTGGCTATATGTGACTATCAAGCATTTGATATTTAATTAGTTTGGCTAAGGAACTGATTTTTTTTTTTACTTAATTTTAATGAAAATTTAGTTATCCACATGTGGCTAGTGGCTATGAGATTGAACAGATGGCTAATTGCCTCACATTGTTCTGCTGACCAGGTGATGGTATTGTGCATAATACCCACTGTCAATCTTGTACTTTAGGAGATTCCTTTTTTTTTCTTCCAAATTTTTATTTAAATTCTAGTTAGTTAACATATAGTGTAGTATTGGTTTCAGGAGTAGAATTTAGTGATTCATCACTTACATATAACACCCAGTGCTCATCATAACTAGTGCCCTCCTTAACGCCCATCCCCATCTAGCCCACCCCCACCCACCTCCCTTCATCAACCCTCAGTTTCTCTATCCTTAGAGTCTAGAAGAGGGATGCCTGGGTGGTTCAGTCAGTTAAGCACCTGACTTCAGCTCAGGTCATGATCCCAGGGTCCGGTGATCAAGTCCTGCATCAGGCTCCTTGCTCAGCAGGGAGCCTGCTTCTCCCTCTGCCTGCCCCCCCCCCTCGTGCTCTCTCTTTCTCTGACAAATAAAATCTTTAAAAAAAACTATTAAAAAAAAAAAGAGTCTAGGAGATTCCTGAAGGGATACTTCAAGGACCTAAACCTTGAAGAGATTTAAAAAATTCTTGAAGAGATCTTTAATGGATTCTTCTATCTGTTCAGTTATTTTTCTTTTTAAGTCATAAAGATATAAGGTTTCACAAACTACTTAAAGTAATACACACCATGAGGGTATTACTGATGAGGAAAGTGCCTTTGCCTCTAGGTAATCCTGAGTACGTAGCAGCAATAAAATCTACATGTGCCCTTAAGCTCCTATCTGAAATTTTTAAAAAGCTTTTGCTTTTGAGGAACTGATAGTTCTTTTTTTATGTATTTATATAAAATGGGGGCAGAGGAAGAAAGAATCTTAAGCAGGCTCCATGCCTAAGGCAGAGCCCCAAGCGGGACTCGATCTCATAACCCTGAGACCTGAGATCATGACCTAAACTGAAAGCAAAAGTCAGATGCTTAAACTGAGCCGTCCAGGCACCCCAGACTGGAAGTTCTGAAAGTCTTCACACATGCTCTCTCATTTGATTGTCACAACAACCAATTGAGTCCTGGCCCATAAATCTTTTCATTATACCAATCCACCTACACAGGAGAATTTTTTTATAGTATAATAAGAATTATCTGCAGGGGGCCTGGGTGGCTCAGTTTGTTAAGCGTCTAACTATTGGTTTCAGCTCAGTTCGTGATCTCGGGGTCCTGGGATGGAGCCCTGCCCTGGGCTCCAAGCTCAGCAGGGAGGCTGCTTAAGGATTCTCTCTCTCCCTCTCCCCCCACAACTTGTTCTCTCTCTCTCTCTCAAATCAGTGAATGAACCTTAAAAAAAAAAAATTATCTCCAGATCTTGGAAGAAGTTAGGTTTTCAAGCTCTGAAGACAAAGTTTTTTTTTTTTTATAAATTGTAGATTAATGATCAAAAACTATTTGTTGGTAAAATAAAAGAAAAAACAAATGAATAAACATGGAGTGTGAACATAATACATAATTTCATAGTGTCCTAACTTTTTATCTGGAAGAAGGAATCTTAGCATACTTTCAAAAAGCTCCATAAATATCACGTAGAAATCAGTTTGTTCACAGATTCACAACTTCTTTTTTTTAGTTTAATTATCATTTTTTTATTTTTTATTTTACATTTTTTTATTTTGCATTTTTTTATTTTATTATGTTATGTTAATCACCATACATTACATCATTAGTTTTTGATGCACAATTTCTTAATGGTTTTGTTTTTCTTTTATTTCAGAAGCTCTTGAAAAGGACATCAAGTATAAAGTGAACCGGCTCACTCTCAGACAGTACTGGAACCATGAGCAGTAACGGAACAGACCTAACCATTGGTTTCATCTCCTCTTCTGTAGCTGTCCTTTTGTTTGGCTCAAACTTTGTGCCACTTAAAAAATACGATACTGGTGATGGTAATTATTTTTCCTTCATGGTTAACTTTAAATTACTTTTAAATGTGAAGTTCTCTTTTTTGGTGGTTTTTTTTTTGTTTTTTTTTTGTTTTTAATGATGGCTACAAATTATCTTGTACCTGGCGCCAAATGAATAGAGCTTATGATAAATCATTCGGTAATGCTCATGCCAGTTTATCTGAGATTTTTTCAGTATGGAATAGTCTTAAGGTTGTGTTTCATGGTAAAGCTGGGAGAGTGACTGTCAGGAAAGCTTATTAGCCTTACCTGTTATGTTTACAAAAGAAGAAAGTTCTACTAATATACACTTGTTTTGAAAACATGAATTTCAAATACGCTTCATATAATAGAGAACAGTTTGAGCACAACGTGAATTTTGTGTTTATATGCCATTTTGACTGGTACAGCACTAGGTGAGCACAGATCACCACTTCCAGTTGAATAAAGATGCATGGGAAAGCACGAGGTGCGCTTGCACACGCACCCCTCAACATCCCGCAGCTCCCTCAGCACCACACCTGTTCACGTCTGCTGTTAGGATCCCCCCATCCACCAGCTTCACAATAGCTCACAAGCTGCCACACTTCCGATGCCCACTCCCATAAGCAACCCTTCCAGTCTTTTTCAGGTTGCGGTGCCATATTTATTGTAATGCTTGTGAATTTCTTAACCACTTAGCCAGTGTAAAACTGTACTTTTTTTTAAATTAGGTTCCTGTCTCTTTTTTTATTAGGTTCCTGTCTTTTTATAAAATACATTGTTGATGAAATGTTTTTTGAGTGTTGTTCCCTTTCTCCCCATAAAATCTCTGTGGTTTTTATTATGTGATTTTGCAAAGTGCGGTGCTTTTAGGAACACACGTGGCACATTATAGTTGACCTGACCGTCATGTGAACTTCAGGGAAAGAGAAGCAAGAGGTTTTTTTTGGTTTGGGGTTTTGGGTTTTTAATCCACCTGCCTATAATAGGATAGCCAGGAGAAGATGCTCAAATGTTATGCTGAACACCTGGTGGGAAGCAGTTACTTTATCACCTCATTTCCTTATATCTTGCTACTACTTCAACAATAGAATTACAAATCTTTTTCTTCCAGAGCCTTTCTTCTCTTTTTCTTTGGAGTTAGGATGGATATGGAAACTACTAAAAGAACAAAATATATACTTAGGGGTTGAGGAACGGGCTTTTAGGTGTCTCTCAACAACTGTGATCCTAGACAAGTCTCATCAGCGCTTTTGTTCTCAGTTTCTCATTTGGAAAATGAAGAACTTGTAAGATGAAGTTCGCTTTCATCTCTGTGATCTTCCTTTTTTGTCCTAGAGGCTAACAGCCTTTTTTTTTTTTCTCTCCTCCACCATGAGATTGAATTGAAATAGGCAAAAACCTTCCACAGGTAGACTCAGAAGTGCTACACTGAGTTATACCTGCCCTAGTATTTCTTCCTATATCGACTTTTTCTTTAATCTTTTAATCCCTAAACCCCTTGATGGAACAGAAGCCTCAGGTACAGATAGACCTCATATCACCATGTCATCTTCAGCTAACTGGCAAATGGCAACCCGGAGCCCAGAAAGAAGAATGCCCTGACCCAGAATGCTAATTCTTGGGTTTGTATTGTCTGGCTCATCACAGGCATTCAACTCTAAGTGTGAGAGGTCTACATGTGGCCATGAGTGGCTTTGTTTTTATCCCAAAGGTGGCATAAATGATCCCGAAAGGTTTAATTACTACTGTGCTATTCTGAAGTTCTTAATGCCGTGTTTTGGTGAGAGATGGCGCTCGGTGTGGCATTCAAATACAAATATATAGACTCGGTCTTGCCAGTACTCTTAGGTAGAAAATTCTAGATTTGTTTAATTAGTGAAACAAACAAAAGAATGTTAACCAGGAATGCACTATGCTTGGCAAGCTTTGGAGTAAACAGCATAGGTTTAAATTCCAGTTCTACAAACCGTTAGCTGTTGAGACAAGTTGCTTCATCTCACATTCATTTTCTCCGTCTTTAAACTAGGGTTGACTATGATTCATAGTAGTTGTAAAAATTATAGTAAGTGTGCAAAGTACCCGCATTATAGGCATTCAGTAAGTTGTGACCATTCCTATAATAACATCTCTTTGATACTCTTAAGCGTTAATTTACTCAAATCAGTTTGAACCACAGAAACCAATTTCTTTTATTTCCAGGAATGTTTCTCCAGTGGGTGCTTTGTGCTGCCATATGGTTGATTGCCCTGGTGGTCAATCTGATATTACATTGCCCTAAATTTTGGCCTTTCGCAATGGTTGGGGGCTGCATTTGGGCAACAGGTAATGCATGATATAATTTATTCTGTAATCATTTAATACTATGATCAAAATAACTGGTTCCTAATAAAAGGAAATAACACAAACAGCAATTCTGAATAATCCTTAGGCATAGATACTAGAAATTAGTTTAGTTTCTTTCATTCAGATGCTCGATAAATATTTTGGGTACATTTCCTGACTTTTTCCTCTTAATGATTTCTTTCTTAGTTACTGATAGAAAATTATAGCAAAAATGTTTCAGTTGCTCTCTATCTGTTCAAGCATAACTTATATATTAGTTTAAGTGCTCCAGCCTTTCTTTCTCTATGTTAATCAGAAAATATTTTTTAAATAGTAGTCTCTACTATTATAATATTTAAGACTTATCCTTGAAAGTAGGAAAACAGACACATTGTCATTTCAAAAGCACTGGCAAAAAAACAAAAGCAAACAAATATCTTCCCTCTGTTGCTTTATCAATACCTAGAATTATATAACTGGAATTGATACCTTTGTTTGGCCGGTCAGGATGGTTTTCCTTCTATTAATATAAAATATATCCCAGGAGCATTTTGTTCTATTTAGCAAAAAGAATTCCAAGTATCAAGGATTTTTAGAGGTTAATTTGATTAAAAGCAAATACATTTTAAAATGTGAAAAACTTATTGGGTACCCACTTAATTTGAATCTCTGCAGAATTAAATGATTTAGTGAAGTTCCTGACTTGGAGGACAAAAGAGTTCACTTTTAAATTTCCACTGGGATTTAAATTACTATACCTCACTTATACCTTGGTATGATTATGTTTATCATGTCTACTGGGGAGAGGGAAACAGAAAGCTCCATGTAGCCTACAGATCTTTCTAACAACTATAGTATTTATAATTACCCAGCAGGTTCCATTGGGATTCAGTGGGGGAAGGCTGTAATTTGAGAAATGTTGCTATGGTTGGATGCTATAGGTCATAGTAACTGAGTGGAGATGGGGAGTAGAGGAAAGGGAGCAGCCAATGATGATGTAGGGATTTTATCATTGAGTGATGAAAATAGAGAGAAGTATGTGTCCAAAAAGAAAAATGATGAGTTCGGTTTGGGACCTTTTGAGACTGAAGTTCTTGATGTTCCCACAGTGTGGGACATCTGGTTAGAGATCTCTTGGTGGGAGCAGAGCACTAAAACTCTGGAGAAGGTCCTGGCTAGAGCAGTGGCACTGGGAGCATGTGTCTCTAATTGACAGCTGAAATCCTGAAATTAGGTCAAGTGCCCAAAGAAGATTATATATAGCCAGAGGAAGAATGTGTTCAAGGGAAAATATTTAGGGGGCACCTAAGTCTGGAGAGTATGACAAGAAAGAGTAGGCCATGAAAGAGAGAGACAGGAGGGAATCAGGAAATGAAGGCATCTTGGAAGCCACCAGAGGAAACCTTTCCAGAGATTGCAGGACTGAGGCCAGACTGCTAAGAGGTTAAGAACTATAAAAAAAAATCATGCATTTGGCCTTGAGTGACCTTTCAGAGCACAAAGCAATGAATGCAGCATTCTAGAAGATAAGTCAATGAGCATGGAAGAGCAAAGTCTGGGGCCATACTGGGTCAAAGACTTCTGTCAGTACTTGGCTCTGGGAGTTCAAGTCTAAGAGGACAGTCACTACTAATTTTATCATTGACAGTTTCTGCAAAAAGTTATAGAATAGAGACCTATATTAAGGATAAAGAGCATTGGTGCGATTAGGAAAAGAACTAATTCATCATTTTTCTTTGTAAGATTTTGTATTATGCCTAGTTCTTTTAGCAATCATAAACCTGAGTTAAATACCAAAAAAAATGTAGTTCTTTTATTTAAAAACTGAGGAATTGTGCTTTCCTAAATTTGTCCAAATCCCATAAGTTTCATTTGAAGTTAAAAATTAATTCAATTTATAAATGTATTTTTGTATTAGAAATAACATATTTTTTTCTGTATGTTACATCTCCAGGGAACATTGCTGTTGTCCCAATTATCAAAACCATTGGTTTAGGCCTTGGAATCTTAATCTGGGGATCATTTAATACCTTAACTGGCTGGGCAAGCTCAAGGTAACACAAAACAATTTCAACTAAGATTCTCTATACTGATGTAAGGCAAGTCCTAGGGATTGGGCTAGCTGAGAGGAATACACTGGTTTTTACCCTCACAGAGATTACAGCTGGTAAGACATACACGTGAAATATGCTACTTTTAATTATTATTTGCCCTAAATTCTAATATCTGATCTAGATATTTGGTTAAGATACAGTAAGGAATTATCTCCTTGGACCAGAAGAAGGAAGAGAGGAGGGGAACTAATGTGTATTTTCCCTTTTTATTGTGTGACAATTTGCTGGATGTGTTATATGCATCATTCTCCTCTCATTTTCACAAACATGAGGTAAGCACTACCTTATAAGAGAGCTAAAAGACAGGGAGATTGGGTAACTTGCTGAATATCACAGAATGAATAAGCTAGGTTTCAAACACAGGTCTTCTAGTTCTAAAGCACATATTCCTCCTGGAGCCTGGGCCAGGGTCAGCAAAACATGGCTCACCTTCCCAGCTGTTTTTGTAAATAAAGTTTCATTGGAACACAGCCAAACCCATCCATTTCATATTGTCTCTGGCTGCTTTTACACTACAGTGGCAGAGTTGAGTAATTGCAAGAGACTGTCTGGCCCACAAAGCCTAAAATATTTACTCTCTGGCCCTTTAAGGAAAACTGTGCCAACTCCAGCTCTAGGGGGCGTCCAGCAGGGTCACCACAAGCCACATGGTGTCCATTTATATTTAAAGTTACATGAATAAAATTTGATAAAATTAAACATTCAGTCCCACAGCTGTACTGCCCATAGATCAAGTGCTCAATAGCCATAGATGGCTAGAAACTACCCTGTTATACAGTGCACCGTAGAAGACCCCCCATAAAATAGAAGTAGAAACTTCTGTTTGACTATGCTGCCCTTGTTTAGCATTAAAATTAACATTCAAGTTGAGTATGGGGAAGAGGAGTAGAAGGGAGGATGTCACTCTTACCTTACTTTTTGGGCTCCTCTTCCCTCTCAAAGCGTTGTAACAACCTCAGTAATGACAAAATGAACTAACTTCCAATCTGTTCTTTCCTGGCCTTTCCCCATGCTTCCACCAGCTTCTTACAAGTGCTATTTTCTTTGGCTTTTTCTACCTGCCTCTTTCATTCTTGCCCTGAATGGTTCACAGTAATTATTAGTAACAATTGCTACAATGTGAAGGCATGAAAAAATATGTATATATAAGGTGATGCCAAAAAGTGATCCTTAACCAAGCAGTTACTCAAAAGTCTGTCTCAATAAATACTATACAAAATTGCATCCAATTAATTAGCATTCACTTAGCCACTAATCTATTTTGCCTTCCTTCTTCCTTTATCTTAATAAGAAAGGGACACTCACAAGTACTTTTACATATACTAACTCATTTAAAATATCTTCATAAAAAGGAAGGGATATATATGTATAATAATTATATCTAGCTTATAGGTACCCCATTTTAAACTTGGGGAACTGCGGTATGGTAAAGAGTTAACTTGTTCAAGTCACAATTAGTAAGAGAGGGATTTAGGATTTGAATCCAGGAATCTGACCCTGAGTCCATGCTCTTGAACACTACGATGAAGACATTTTCAAAAGTACCTACTTTGATGTAACTTTCTCAATTACAGGTTTGGCTGGTTTGGAATGGACGCAGAAGAAGTATCAAAACCGGTGCTGAATTATGTTGGAGCTGGATTATCAGTAGTGAGGTACACAGTCATTTCTGATTTAACTGTTCTTCCAAACATTTAGAAAACCTTTTAGAGATCCCAATGTGTTTACATTTTTTTAAATCCGTATTTCATAAAAGTGACATGATTTGTCCTCAGATTCTTCATTTACGTTCACAGATTTGGCTTTCAAGGACAAAAAGGGCCAGCTCTGGGGTCCCAAGCCCCAGCTTTAGTTCTCAAAAGCTCTGAGACCCCTGGAAGACCGTTGAGCTGCTTTGAAGCTCACTTTCATTTATCTGTGATCTTTAGAAAAATCGTAGTACATAGCTCATAAATTAGAATCAAATGGCACATTAGTTTGCAAACTGAACAATACTGTGTAAAGAAATGTTATGCTGGCTCCCCGATGCCTCTGGAATAGCCCTTGATTCTCTCCTCTTATCTTCTCTCATTACAAGCACTTCCTCTTTGCCCCCAGTTTCCACATTCCTGTCTCCCCTCATCTCTTCTTATCCCGGTCAGATAACTACTCTCCCACATATGAAAACACGTATTCACTTAAATACGTGTTTTGGGATGTTTCTATGTCTAGTCATATGCACTATATGAATGAGGATGAAAATGACTTTAAATCTCTATATGGCAGTGTTCAATCAATAAAACTCCAGCAGGAATTAGGTCACCTTAAATTCAGTCCCCTTTCCCTTCTAGACTCCATTTATATTCCCTGTCAGTGCTTCACATAATGGATAGCCCTGCCTGGAAAGATTTTAGTACTTTTTTATTCTTCAGGGAAAGAACAGTATATTTCTCTTCCTCCTGCAGTGATGGCTTTTCCCCAGCTACATTCAGGAACAATCTCTTTGTCATTGAAATGTTCCCTAAGAGAGTGATCCTAGGCCAATTAGAGAAGAAATAGCATAGATTATTCTAAAAAAGCAGATTCCTGACATTTTTGGTTAAAGGCAATTTTATGTATTTTGCACAATTCACATGGCATCCTAGCTTTGAATAGCTCTCTCAAAAACAATTTCTTTATGCCCCAAAATTGTAATGTAGCATGCCTTCTTTCTGACTTAATAGTAATTTAAGGCCAGTTTACTCAGTCCATCAGGCATTGTTTTTCTCCATATTTCTTCTTTCTTTAGAAAGTGTACATTCTCTAAAATTGCAAATTATTCATGTTCTACCCACTTCTACCTGTATGACCTTGGGCAAATTACTGAATTTCTCTAAGCCTTGGTTTCTTCATCTGGGGCTAAAGTGAGGGAAATAATCATGCCAGCCTTATAAAATATTTTGAAGATGAAATGAAAAGAAATATGCTAAGTGCTTTGTATACTGCTAGGTATATAGCTAATGCTCTATAAATTGGGTAATTTTTATTATAATAATCATTATTTGTACCAATAGCTAGTTCATGTTCAATTACTGGTTTCCCTTTGGGTGTGTGTTGTTCAGCTCTGTGGTAAACTGTCAGTGCACTTGAGGATCATGTGGCTTGGTTTGGAGTCGGTCTGTGGCACAGAAATGCAATGATCTCTTCCTGTAGTGCATTCTGGCTTTCTTCTAGGTTTCTTTACCAAGAGCACCTTCTGGAAACTTTTATTTCATTATTTTAACTCCGTTAAATCAGTTTGTTCAAAGGGCATTCATTGAATAAGCTTGGAGTTTCATGGCCATTAGTATAAGGAAATTTGGAATATGGTCACATTTGTTTGGTCACCTCCTGTTGCTTTTCTTTTTAAAATTGAAATTATTGATCTTATGCTCTGTACAGTCCAGTTTTTAAAGGTTAGGTGAGATTGTTTCTAGCCTTACATTTTTCCTGTATATGGTATCAGTCAGTTTCTATAACTAAAATCACTCTAAGGGGGCACCTGGGTGGCTCAGTCATTGGGCATCTGCCTTCGGCTCAGGTCATGATCCCGGGGTCCTGGGATCGAGCCCCGCATCAGGCTCCCTGCTCAGCGGGAAGCCTGCTTCTCCCTCTCCTGCTCCCCCCTGGTTGTGGTTCCTCTCTGGCTGTCTCTTTCTCTGTCAAATAAATAAAATCTTTAAAAAATAAATAAAATCACTCTAGGTATTTTTTTTTAATTTTTAATTTTATTTTTATTTATTTATTTACTTGAGAAGGGGTGGGCAGAGGGAGAAAGAATCGTAAGCAGGCTCCACACCTAGCACAGAACCTGGCATGGGGCTTGATCTCATGACCCTGAGATCGTGACCTGAGCCGAAATCAAGAATCAGACACAACTGACTGAGCCACCCAGGTGGCCCCACTCTAGGTATTTTAAACAGCGGAGCATTTCACACAAGGAATTGTTTACAAAATTGTGATAAGGCCCCAGTGGAACAAAAGGAGGAAGGGGGTTCTGCCCAAAACCCTGGAGCCCACGCTCCAACCAGCACAGTTGCCTCTGCCCTGAGTTACCACTGCTGCTGAAACTACCGGAGCCACCATCAAAACAAAACGGCTTCTCCCAACTTTTAAGCCTATTTCTCTGCCTCCCGATGGCAAAACCTAGCTGCTAATACAGTTTGGGAAGACACAGGCTTCAGCCTTCTAGGCGTCATGGTTCAGGAGACAATATATAAGGGTGGGTATGAAGCTGACACCAAGAAACAGTGTTCTCTCAAACAAACTTTAATGAAGATCCAGGGATCAGAGTTCATAAAAAAAGCAGATTTCCTTTCCAATTAAAAAAAAAAATGCTTTGGATTATCCTTGAGTCTGCTCCCCATTTCTTTCTCACTTAACTTGATTTTCCTGGAGAATTGTGTTGTGAGGAAATCCAGCCTTTGTTTCCAGCCATTACCTTTCTTCAGAGCCACAGTCCTTATATCTCGCTATGGACAAGCTCGACATCTCGACAGAGATGCCCCCCAGGCACCCCCTCCCCAGGCTGAGGTGAGATAATGTGTGGAAGAGGACCTTGCTGGGTCAGGCACATGGTCAGCACTCCGCAAACACTTTCTCTCTGCCTTCAGTATTTCCCAGTCAGAATTACTTTTCTTATTCTGCCCTTCCCTGCAAAACTGGTTCCTCTTCCTGTGTTCCCTCCCTCATAGAATGTAATAGCCACAGTTCTTCAAATTCAAAACCTTAGTCATCCTGAGTTGTTTTTCCTCTCATACCCCATCCTATATCTAATCCTGTAAACATTTTTTTTCCTGAATGTTTCGCAGGTTCTTCCTCTCCTTTCCCCCAGTTCCTTAATATATATCCACCTGCATATGATTGTAAAAATCTCACATCTAGGGGCGCTTGGGTGGCTCAGTCGGTTAAGCGTCTGACTCTTGGTTCTGGCTCTGGTCATCATCTCAGGGTCATGAGATTGAGCCCCATGTCAGGCTCCACACTCAGCTTGGAGTCTTCTTGGGAGTCTCACTTTCCTTCTCCCTCTGCCCCTCACCCTGCTCACTTGCGGTCTCTCTCTCTCAAATAAATAAAAATCTTTAAAAAAGAATCTCAGAGCCGCCGCCAGGAAGGAGCAGCCCCGGCCACCTAGGACTGGATCCTTAGGGAGGAGAGGTGGCGGATGACCCCAGTGCTGCCGACAGTAATGTGGAGATTTGGAAGATCAAGAAGCTCATCAAGAGCTTAGAGGCGGCCCGCAGCAGTGGCACAAGCATGATAGAATTGCTCATTCCTCCCAAAGACCAGATTCCACCAGTTGCAAAAACGTTAGCAGGTGAGTCTGGAACTGCATCTAACATTAAGTCACAAGTAAACTGCCTTTCAGTCCTGGGAGCCATTACATCTCTACAACAAAGACTCAAACTTCATAACAAAGTACCTCTAAGTGGCCTGGTTGTTTACTGTGGTACAATTGTAACAGAAGGAAAGGAAAAGAAGGTCGACCTTGACTTTGAACCTTTCAAACCAATTAATACGTCATTGTATTTGTGTGACAACAAATTCCGTACAGAGGCTCTCACAGCACTGCTTTTGGATGACAGCAAGTTTGGCTTCATTGTAATAGATGGTAGCGGTACACTTTTTGGCACACTCCAAGGAAACGCAAGAGAAGTCCTGCACAAATGCGCTGTGGATCTCCCAAAGAAACATGGTAGAGGAGGTCAATCAGCCTTGTGTTTTTGCCTGTTTAATAGTGAAAAAGCGAGGGGCGCCTGGGTGGCTCAGTCGTTAAGCGTCTGCCTTCAGCTCAGGTCATGATCCCAGGGTCCTGGGATCGAGCCCCGCATCAGGCTCCCTGCTCCGCGGGAAGCCTGCTTCTCCCCCTCCCACTCCCCCTGCTTGTGTTCGTTCTCTCACTGTGTCTCTCTCTGTCAAATAAATAAATAAAATCTTAAAAAAAAAAAAGTGAAAAAACGACATAACTATGTTCCGAAAGTAGCTGAGCTGCTGTTCAGCTGTTTGTTTCTGGGGATAAAGTGAATATGACTGGTCTTGTTTTAGCTGAATCAGCTGACTTTTAAAAACTGAACTAAATCAATCTGATGTTTGATCAGAGGTTGCAATCAAAAGTTTTAAAATTAGTTGATATTTCCTATGGTTGTGAAATGGATTCAACCAAGCTATAATCTACTGAAGTCCTCTCAGACGTGAAATTCATTCAAGATTTTGATGAAATCAGCCAGGACACGGGCAAGTACTGTTTTGGAGTTGAAGACATACTAAAGACTTTAGAAATGGAAGCTGTAGAGATTCTAATAGTCTATGAAAATCTGCATTTAATGAGATACAGCCTTCATTGCCAAAGCACAGAAGAGGAGAAAATTATCTAACTCTAGAACAAAAGAAGGATAAATCTCATTTCACAGACAAAGAGACAGGACAAGAGCATGAGCTGATTGAGAGCACACTCCTGCTGGAATGGTTTGCTAACAACTATAAAAAAATTTTGGTGCTACGTTGGAAATTGTCACAGATAAGTCACAGGAAGGATCTCAGGTTGTGAAAGGATTTGGTGGAATTGGAGGTTATCTTGCAGTACCGAGTAGATTTCCAGAGAATGGAATACCAAGGAGGAGAAGATGAATTTTTTGACCTTGATGACTACTAGGTACTCGACATGGGTCCGGCAAAATAGGCCTCACCCTCCAGCATCCAACCCAAGAAGCATACCCGTGGTGGAATCCAAACAGATCCCTGCCTTACAATTGGAACATTTCCAGAACTTAATCCATGAGCACTGGATATTGAAAAGAAAACCAAAACAAAATCAGACCCAATCCTGCACTTTGATTTGTGATGGTGTCAGTGCAACAGCCTAGAACTAAGTTCCTAAAATGCCACTTTGGACTAATTTAGAAAAGAATCCCAGTTTTTACTTTTACTTGATGATGAAATTGGTTGCTCTTAAGTTTTATTAAAAAAAAATGATTTTTTTTAACGTTCGTCCATATAATCAAAAATACTTAACCTTAAACCTTCAAAAGTTAATAGAAATGAGATCATAAAAAAACCTCACATCTACTTTCCCTAGTTCCATTTTTCCTATTGCCAGTATAACCTGCTTATATCTGCTATCAAATCAGTCATCACTCTTCTAATTAAGAACCTTGGAACACTCCCATTGAATTCAGAATAAATCTGCCTCCTTAATCTGGTATGTCCTCCACAGTCACAGATTGTACCGTTCTTCCTAGGTCAGCCTTCTCCCTGTATTGTCAATTCATTGATCCAGGATTATTTATCAGACCATACCCCAGACACTTCCCCCAGCCCAAAGACCCTTTACTCAGCCTCCTTGGCCTCCCTTAAATATCAGTTGAGATTTTCCACCGTGTGTTGTTTTCTTGATTTCCCTTCTTCCTAATTAGAATAAGTCGCCCCTAAACTTCCATGGCATCTTGAACTTCTTCTATTATGGAAGGGTCTATTTTGTATTATTCATACAATTCCTTTATCCTTGAACTTTGAGATCCTGAAGGACAAAGTCTGTTATTTTCTTTGAATACCATCTCTCCTACCATCACCATCAGACTTTGCCACACAGTGCTTGACACTTAATAGATGCTCACTAAAGCATGTTAAATTAAGTTGTCTGGGTAAACACATACACAGAATTTCTACTAATTGTAAGATGTATAAGGTTATAAATCTAAGGGAAACTGGAAAGATCAAAAATGTAGAGAAGCACTCCTGAGTATAACATATTGATTTTTTAAAAACTTTCCATGCTTTTGACAATATTCACAGACTTTATCATGGACCTTTGTGTCTAACACACTGTAACAAGTTCTGTAAGTCTACAGCCCAAAAGATCTTGTGATCTATTTGGTCTTATGTTCATATACATAAGATAAATTTCATTACCTTGTCCTAACTTAGTGCCCTGTACCCCTCTTGACCTAACTGGGCTGACTTACCTATTTTGTGACAAGCACTAGTCACACAAGCTCAAAACCACTGATTTCTTAGTCCTGATTTTCTTTTTTCTCATGCTCAAAACCCCTCTCCCATCCAATAGGCTCTTTATTTCCTAACATGTTTTGAGATTTTACCATGTTCCCAAAAGTACACTAAGAATTTTGCATGCATTATTATTTAATTCTTATCACAGCTCAGTAAAGTGGGCACATCCCCATTTCTTTAGGTGGAAAAAGTTGAGGCTCAGAGAGGCTAGGTGATTTGCAGGAGGGTCATACAGTTGTTTGAAGAAACACTCAAAGGCTTTCTCATTGGTACCCTTCAAGTATTTCTAACATACCATCCTGTATTGTTATTAGGAAAACACACTGGTCTATACAGGGTTGAGGGTTTTCATGGTAATTTTGAGAAGAAAATGCAATTGAGATGTCTAATAATAGCTTTGCAAATTAGCATGTATGTAAGCACACATTTAACTGACATACACACATTTAGTTAGGTTTTATTGGGGTTCCTGGGTGGTTCAGTCGTTAAGCGTCTGCCTTCGGCTCAGGTCATGATCCCAGGGTCCTGGGATCGAGCCCCATGTCGGGTTCCCTGCTAAGTGGGGAGCCTGCTTCTCCCTCTCCTCCCCACTCATGCTCTCTCTTTCTCTCGCTATCTGTCACATATTCACATATGTCTCTCTTGCTCTCAAATAAATAAAAGCTTAAAAAAATAATTAGGTTTTCTGCATTCATTTTTACAGAGTGTTAAGCACTTTGAGGACCTTGAAGGAGATCTTATCTTCCATTGAATTAGAAAATCTGTAGAGAAAAAAGTTTCCAAGGACGTGTGGCAAATGGTCTGGGTTATGCGATGACTATTCTTAGTGGTGTGGGAATTCAGAGAAGAGGAAGAGTCAGTGAGGACTGAGCTGGGAGCGGGGGAGGTTTCTTGTCACACTCAGCACTTCAGTTCTTCTTTAGCTTGGATAAGAAGAGGGGAGTATACGCCGTGTTCAGCTAAGAAAGAGAAAGAAGCAAGAGCAGGTGGTTGTGGAAAATGGCGGCGAAGAAGAGGTGGGAGCAGGGACAGGTCAGAGATGAAAGTCCCTGTAGAGAATTATGTGCAGTAGGTTATGGGGAACATAATGCAGAGGGTACTAAAACTCCAAAAGGACAGTTAAATTCGCTATAGAAGGGAATATGGAACCATTCAAGTTTTTAAAGCAAGTAAGAGACTGAACTAAGGAAGCTAAGAAATTTTAAATTTGTATTCAAAAAACCACACATTATAAGCACTCGTCTGCACTTGGCTACCTACACTATTTCAGCCTCCTCTGTACTTTGAAAACTTATATTGCTTTAACTTTTGAACCATGCAAACATATTTTGAAAAAGGAATGTCAAAGGCATACTACCAAAGTTGTTAGTTTCCTTAAGTTAATTTAATATCTGAACACATTTTAACCTATTTGCATGGTTCAGAAGTCAATGGTAAGCAAAGCATTTGTTATAAAGATACTGGACATGAATAGACAATGCATTATGTGAGAATGTCAAAGGGCGGGGTGCCTGGGTGGCTCAGTCGTTAAGCGTCTGCCTTCGGCTCAGGTCATGATCCCAGGGTCCTGGGATCGAGTCCCACATCGGGCTCCCTGCTCTGCGGGAAGCCTGCTTCTCCCTCTCCCACTCCCCCTGCTTGTGTTCCCTCTCTTGCTGTGTGTCTCTCTGTCAAATAAATAAAATCTTTGGAAAAAAAAATGTCAAAGGGCAAAAAGTCATCAGGCTCATGCATGTGTCTTTATCTCTTAAAATATACTCTGAAGATCTTTCCATATCAGAGCACAGAGGGTGTCCTCATTTATTTTTTGATATCTGTGTAGCATTCCATGGTGTGACCCTGAAGAGGGCGTCATCTGAGTGTGGGTGTAGCAGTGTTCTCAGGCCCCAGCGTCTCCTCCGTGGGGGTTGTACAGTTCTCTACTCACCTCAGCGGTACCTGAAGAGGCAGTGTGACAGTAATCGCCGTCACATTAGGACTGGATTTAAGCTGTGTTTTCTCATAAAATTCAGGCAGCTTGCGATGAACCAGGGTTATGAGAAACATCACTAAAATTTATTTTCTTTACAGTGCTTTCATATTTTTGTTCATCAAAAGTGAAATACCAAATAACACGTGTTCTGTGGACACCACACCATTAATGACAGATCATGTGAGTACAGTATGAGAAACAATATGAGTTGAAACATAAAATTAAGATAAAAGGAAAATACATAGATTTGAAACACAGATGAGAAGGTAGTTCCTTTTTTTTTTTTCTTTTTTCATTCAGGGCCATCGACAATATGTTTGCATATACATTATAGTTAGGTCTACATAGCAGCCAGTCAAGACTGCCACGGGAAAGCTTCTCAGCAAACGCAAAGGTCTATTTATATCTATTAATGGTAGATCCCAACTAGAAGATGTATATACAAGCCCATATTTTGGAATGGCTTAAGGATTTCTGCAGTGGGAGGATCCTAAGTACTGAAGAGGAATATAAAAGTTACTTTAGGAAGAGGGAGGAGGCAGGACTTAAAGTAGGCCCGGGGAGAGCAGTGGGGAATAGCTCAGAGGCAGCCAATGAAAGGAAAAATCAAATCATATGAAAGGAGGAGTGGGACTTGGATTTTTTTCCTTTTTCTCTTTTGCCACATCCTGTTCCACTCAAAGGTAAAGACAAGAAATATGTAGGAAGTTGCTGTTTGACCTTGAAGAACCTTAATTAGTCTGGCGTAGCAAATCTAGATTCAACAGGGATAACCTATAAGAGATCTGACAAAGCACAAGGCCCAGTGCTACATATACAAAAGTGATTTCAGAGCAAACTCCCATGGCCAGGAACCCAGACTCCAGTCCTTCCTGTTTCAAGTCTCTCTTCTACCTGCTGTGGGTCCAGTGCTATCCAGCTGCCCTGGGCAACCAGAGTCCTACACCCGGACAGACAGATGCATTGCCTCCCTGGAAGGTGCTGCCTCTACTCCTTACTTCAAAACTAACCTTTTCTTCTCCCTTTCTTCTTCCCCTCTCAAAACCCTCGTCAAATAAAGTGACTGAAACCTTAGTCAAATTGACACTAAAGTTAACTAAGAATTAGCTTAAGGATAAGAGAAAAGAGATTTATTAACCCATAGACATCTCTAATCTAGAAAATGTTGCAGAGAGAGAATGAAGGAATTGGGACAGAGTGAACATGTCCAATATTCCTTGCCTCCCCCAGGGATTCAGATACCTCCTGACCAACCACCCCTCATACCAAGGGAGAGAAAAAGAAAAATGCAACTCGGAAAAAGATACATAATAGGTTAACCACCTTGGATCTTTCTAGGCACGTTGGAAGGATATAAGCAAACCAAGTTTAAAGATACATAAACAGCATGACTGGGTATTATGCAACCATACATTATGAGCTCCTCATCATTGAAAGAAAGGATTATTGCTAAACTTGACTTAACACATGACAAAGAATTCAAATCTAGTTTCTTATCTCTTACAAAGGCATTAGGAGTATCACATTAAAGAAATTTCAGCTAAAAGGCAAAGATGATTACATTCAATATTAGAAATATAAATTGGCTTGTAATTTTTCCTGACTTAGAATATCAACCTAAAAAAGGAATATTAACCTAATCATGAACCATGGCTGGCAATGTTTTATTAACTAATTCAGTTAAAGAAAACTGAATTTAAAAAGTACCTATCAATCTTAAGTATTCCATAGAAGAGTCTGAGTTTTCCTTGGTTCTAATTTTTTTTTTACAGATTATTAAAATATGCAGATGAGGGGCACCTGGGTGGCTCAGTCATTGAGCGTCTGCCTTCGGCTCAGGTCACGATCCCGGGGTCCTGGGATCGAGCCCTGCATCGGGCTCCCTGCTCCACGGGAAGCCTCCTTCTCCCTCTCCCATTCCCCCTGCTTGTGTTCCCTCTCTCACTGTGTCTCTCTCTGTCAAATAAATAAATAAAATCTTAAAAAAAAAATGCAGATGAAACACAAGCATTGTTAACTTCTGTTACTTTTGATAGGTGTATCAAAATAGCCATATATTAAACTGGAAAAATTTAAACCGAGAAGTTGCCAACTGCCAAACTTTTCTGAATGGAAGAGGAACAGAATCCGAAACATTTGAGTCTGGAGATATGCACAGAATCAGAGTGCATAGTGTCACGTGCTCATATTTTAAACTATGTTTGAGAAAGAAGAGAAAAACGTGGAAAATCTTCTTGTCACCATGGTCATTATCAACTGAATGCTCTTTTTGTCTTGGTTTGTGCCAATATTTTCAATAGGTGATCAACAACACTCAAGATTCCTGCCCTGATTATTCCTGGGTGGATAAACTTTCCACAGTACAACAGCGCACAGTGTAAGAGGTTCTGTTATTCTCTTTCATATTTGGTTAAAGCAAGGATTACTGGAGTGAAGTGATATTCATCTAAGTGCAAGAAGCAAATGGTAACATCAGCTTTATCTCTCATAGTTCCATGGTGGACAGACTTTCTTGTGCCCTGATGGATTTTTAGGTACAGAGGTCCATGATCTCAGTGTTTCCAGAAATTTCTAAACCACTCCAGTATCTCTAGCCAGTAAGTAGCTGACAAAAGCATCATTTTGCAACACTTTTGATGCTAAAGTAAAAGAGGTAATACAGGCCACAGCATATAATGACCTCCGCTGGAAGTCTGTACATTCATGTGTTTGACAATTTTATAATCTCAAGATATTCATTTTCAAATATAGTAGAATATTTTGGGTCCATGTAGTTATACCCCTCACTGTCATAGAGACTGAGAGAGTTTGGCTCACCAGCAGTCCTTATATTTTCAAGTTTCTTGTGAGATGTTTTTGGATTAGTAGAGAAATATGATAATATGTAAGTGGATAGCTTGCATTTTACAATTGATGACTGTTTTGGACTTTTATGTTGTGACACACATAAGCACTTCAAGAATATAAAGCATTTCCTCTGTTAGTATACACACTAACCTCACAGTGGGAAGGAGGCTGTGCCTGGTGCATAATAAATGTTCAATAAATATTTGAGTCAATTGAGTGAATGAAAGATTGAGCTCACAAACAAGCTTTGGAAGATAAATATGTTGCTGTTTTTGCTTCAGAGTAAAACAGATCTCTCAAAAAAAAAATTTTTTTTTTTCACAAAGCTTCTCCCTTCTAAGGGAATATTTGTTAAGAAAAACATTTTTGATTGTCTCATGATTAGCCAGACCTGGTCTATTAGTCGGTCTGTGTCTGGGACACCCCTTTCAGGACGATGGAGTCCGTTCTTCCCCATAACACAGGGATTTCCATTGTGGACAGAGCTGACTGCCAGATTGGCCTTGTGAGTTCCTATTAAAATAGACTTTAAGAATTTATTTTTAAGTTGGAAAGAAATTTTTTTTTTATGTTAAAGATTTTATTTATTTATTTGTCAGAGAGAGAGAGCACAAGCAGGGGGAGTGGCAGGCAGAGGAAGAGGTAGACTCCCCACTGAGCAGGGAGCCTGATGCGGGACTCGATCCCAGGACTCTGGGATCATGACCTGAGCTGAAGGCAGACACTTAACTGACTGAGCCACCAAGGCGTCCCTGTTTGGGGTTTTTTGTTTGTTTTTGCCTAAAACTCTTTCCTGTTTCATGTCATTGCCCTTTGTAATTAAGTTAAAGGGACTGTTCCAAAATATTAATCATCTGTCCCCAAAATTATTGGGAACACTTGCCTCATGCAAAGTTTGAGGAGTCAACATGACTCCAGTGCTTAAGACGAAATATTTTCTTTTTACAACAGGAAGTGTTTTACCTGAAATATCCAAATTAATTAAGTCAGCACTTCTTGCCCACACCCTAGTCAATGAAGGCATAGGCAAACCCAGGGATATCGATAGCTGTTTTGAACAAGCATGCATTTAGTACTTTGTCTATCCTAGCCCTGTGCTGGATATTACTGAGTGTTTAAAAAAGGAGCATAGGACATGGTGTCCCTCCACAAATAGTTCATATTTAGGGAGCCAAGTCTATTATGCCGACAGTATAATGATAGCAATAGTCACATCTATGTAATAACAATTCATAATGATAATCCATTATAATTTCTGTAAGTAGTATACTTCCAAAACTAGGCAGTGGGGGGCAAAAGTTGCACTTTTAATTCTGATGCCACTCTGACCCTGCAGGGCATTTCTTTGACTTTTGACAGTCACAGAGCTTGAGATAGATGTGTGATTTCTTCATAACTGCCTGTGATTTACACTTTGAAGCATGCTTGAGCTCTGATTCCATTTGTGTGTTTGTCAGAAATATTGCTGTGGGCCAAGATTAACAGTGATATATTTGTTTTTTAAGGGGCTGCAGTCTTGCAGTGATATCTGGAATACTCTATGGGTCTACATTTGTGCCCATCATTTATATCAAGGACCACAGCAAAAGAAATGACAGTATATACGCAGGGGCAAGCCAGTATGGTAAGAGTAAAACATTATTTTACCTTATAAATAAATTCAATACCTGTTTTTCTACTTAAGAATATAAAAAAAAGGAATGTGATCACAGTAAATCCTGGTACATAGATTTGATCTTATTTTTCATTGTAAGTGGTGAATTAGAAAACCACTGAAGACTAAAAGTAATAAAGGACTGTTTGAGTCTTTTCATATGATTGTCAAAATACAAATATAATCAACTTTATTCTAGTCAGTGTTTATGTAGGCTACTTAGATCTGAACACATATTTCCTGGCTTTACAGTAAGATTTGGAGATTATTTTCCAGTTAGATAATCTGAGAAAATATGTATTCTTCTACTCTTTTAAAAAAAGCTAAAGTACAGTACATATCACTTTCAAATCAAGCAAAGGTCAAAGTATAACCTTCCTAAAGGTCAAAGTATAGCCTAGTCAAAGGATATTGTTTTTAAAGCAGAGAGTACTGCATTGAAAAGCCCAACATAATGCTCCCGGATTATCTCAGTTTCTAGTGATGGATTGAGTCTATCTGGTATAAACTCAACACTCCATGCAATCACCCTTGTACAGGCTCATCAGGAGATGAAACAGGGTCTACTTCAGGGGTCTCTCATTTTGTTGAAGTATGGCTTCCACCCATGAACTCATAAAAGAATGAGATCATAGGTAATAAAGTTCTAAATTGGATGGTACAGAAAATTAATGTGACCTACGTTCCGATAAGGGGGAAATTTGGAAGGCAGAAGTCATGAGGGAGAGATTGATGACAAAACTGGGATTTGAAAGACTTTGAGTGGATAGACTGCATAGACATCATTGTTTCTTCCTTCCTTTTTATATTCAGTCCAGTTAGCATTCAAACCTTTTACTAACTTCTGTCTTTTTTTAAAGATTTTCTACAAATACTTTTTGTGTTTTTATTATTTTCCTCTGTAAAGGATAAGAACCAATAAAAATAGAATAACATAGGATAAATTAAAAGACAAGGAAAAACAAGAGTGAAAAAATAAAATGGAACCAAGAATGAGTCTAAAAATTATAACATATTTGTACACTTGCTAGAAATGAGCCATAAATTTGACTCTAAGATTTCTTATAGACACAAGGGAAATCAAATCAGTCCCACAATTCAGTGAACACAAGATAAAAAGAACTGATCATCCAGGAGTACAGTTGTTCTTGGTCCTGGGCTATAATAAATAATGTCCACAATCTCTTTACATAATAGTACAATCAATTCTTAGGGACCTTTCTTATGACAACTTTAATGCCATCTAATAGGAACACACTTTATTCCACTTTATTAAAAAATAATTCTAGGGAGGTGCAATTTTTATTTCATTTGTTTAACAAACACAAACTATTACATGCACTGTGCTAGACACTATTCTAAACACATTTCAATAATAACTCAGTTGACCTTCATAGCAACCTTATTAGTTAGGTACCATTATTATCCTTGTTTTACAGTTGAAAAAATTAAGACTGTGAGAGATCAGGTAATTTGCCCAAGTCTCAAAGTTAGCAAGTAGTGGATTGCAGATCCCATCCAGGTGGTCTGTGCTTTTATTAACTATGCTATGCTGCCCTTTGTGGTAGTTCATGCATGTGTTGTTCTTATGTGATCCAGAAGTAGGGTTTAAGATTTTTAGAAGAATAGACACACTCGTTGACCTTCAAGCTTTTCTCCTTAAACCTGACCACACTCACCTTTGTCAAAATTTTAGTTGAGAGAAACACTGAGTCCAATGTGACTTTCCCAGCCAAGAACCTGTGGGATACCCCTCTGTATGACTAAAAGACAACCTGTTTAAATAGTCGGTGTGGGTGGGTTTTCTCAGATATTGGACCATCATCGTGTGTCGTTAACTCCCCCCATGTAATGAGGCCTATGGTAAACAACTAAAGAAAGCCCTCTTTGAGATAACTTCCTGAATATCCTTCCATGTAGCTGTCATCTGCAACAGAGATGCTGGTCTCCACATTGGTCACCATATAAAATCAGCACTCCCCCATATTTTTCACATCATCCCCACTATAGTCTACTTGGAGATTTGCTACAATTGCCATTAGTAAAATTAAGTCTGAAGCCTATTCTTAAAAACAAGATCATATTCACATAATATTTATAGTTTCTTATTTATCTTTCCAAGATAATCAGAAAAGCCAGCCTTTTAGATCTGATTATACTAACTAATTTACTACTTAATATTTCTAAGTTTTAAATATGTTAATTAAAAGTCTATATAAACAGCATGTAGAAAACTAGGATGATAAAATATAATTAATGGTTCCTTTACTTTTCAGGTTAATTTTGGTGAGTTTTATCTTTAGAACCTAAGTATATTTGAAATGAATAAAAGGATACATTTGAGAGTTTTGTGATCTGTATTTTCAGATTTAGACTACGTTTTTGCACACTTCAGTGGCATCTTTTTTACAAGCACAGTCTATTTTCTGGCCTACTGTATAACCATGAAAAATAACCTTAAGTTATATCCTGAAGCAGTCTTGCCAGGTGAGAACATTTACTGCAGAAAGTCTTCTTACTCTGTGAAAGTATTCTCTACTCACTTAGCTTGAATAATCATCTTCTGGAAACCAAGCCATCCTGTGTGTCTGTGTTTGTGTACATATTCATTCCCTATTGCTTTGGCCCAACTCACCACTAAATATGAAAGATTTAAAATCTATGAAGTGCCATTCATTACAGAACCTGAAACTTGAACAGTGAATCTAAGATGACTTCCTGCGCCAAAATACATTGTGTATTGACCATCAGACTTTATTATTTCTTCTTCATTATCTAAGGATGCTTATTACAAGTCAGAGTCAATAGAACTTTGTAGTTACTTAGGTAAACAAACATCTTCTCTGGAGAATAAGGAGAAATTGTTTTAGAGTTTGAAAAGGGTATATGATAAATGCACATGCTTTGGACTTAATCCATTCGGCACTGGTGGTGAAAAATACATATAATATCTCACTTATTTAGGAGTTTGCCATAAAGCAACTTGGAATATAAGTCCACAAGTAAAAAATTTTTAAGAACAAAATAAAGCATATATCAGATTCATTTTGAATACCTGATTCATTTAGGTCAAAGTATGCCCTTCTACCATTATAAAAAATGATAGGGTATTTATTGAACACCTAGCTAAAGTATCCTGAAAATTTTATCTGGTATTTTCGTTCAAATTCTAGGAGCTTTTTTTTTTCCCCTTAGCTATAAGCACTCTTCTGAATTGCACATATTTTTATGTTGAAAGTTTAAAGTAAATGGTGTTCACAGAGCATGCCCAGATCCAGTATCTTCCCTAGGTCCCTCTCCACTACCCAATCTTTACCTCAACTACAACTTTGGGTATTTTATTTAATGTCAGTAAAATGAAAAGGTTGATAATTATACCCACAGGAGTCAAGAACAAAAAAAAATGACTTGGTTTCCAAAATGATCATAAAACGATGTTGGCCAAATATGTCGATGGGAATGCATTGATATGAGCACTTTAATATTACCACTTTATTTGGAGTGTGGATTTTTCAGGAGAGGAACGTGGCTTGTAAGTGTCCACTGTTTGTGTGTATTTCAGGATTCCTGTCAGGAGTTCTTTGGGCAATAGCCACCTGCTGTTGGTTCATAGCTAATCATGCTCTCAGTGCTGTGGTCAGTTTTCCAATAATCACTGCTGTAAGTAGCTGAATGTTTTTCCAAATTTTTGTTTTTCAAATGTAAATCTGATTTTTCTGAAGCATTCTTAGTGAATCACTGGGGACTGTCATGGAGTGCAATTTTTTAGGAGTACAATTTGTGTAACAGATTCATGTAGCTTCACCAACACCCTCTCACCTCATGTCCCTGATTGCTAAGGGAACATCGCTAGCCTTGTTTAGCAGGTCTGTTCATCTTTGATATCCTTGCAGTTTTTGTCTGGTCATTTTACCTAATGTCATTTTGGATACATTGTAATTTGCTGTTTATGACATACTTATCTCTGTAGAACATTTACAAATTAAAAATGCTTTTGAGTATATTCTCACAACCTTGTGAGACAGAAAGTACTTCAGACTCCCCATATGGTACTTTGGTATTGTTAAAGGCTTTCAGGAAGTCCTAAAGCAAACTATTGTCTCTGGATGAGTTATGTGATTAAACCTTAAGTTTTGCTTTGTGCTTACAAAAGGGAATAATACAATGGGGTAGCTAATTCTTTGTAACTGGTAACATATTATTTCCTCAGAAGAGACCAGTTATTTTCTAGTACTAAATTCTTAATAGAATGTATCATATGGGGCCTTTTAGAGGGGACACTGAATAACAATAAATAATATTCCTCAAAAAAATTTATAGTAGACAGAGATTTGTTTTTTTCTGTCACTGTTTCTTGTATTAAATTATGGTAAAGACTTAGGATAAAACATTAAATCTTAATTCCGTGGAAATAAATTGCTGAGGTGGGTGAGGTATGGGCAGACAGTCGATGGGAGTAATCACTGTGGCTCTTGGAAACTTGCCTGTCAGAAGGATTATTCTTTTTTTTTTAAAGATTTTATTTATTTATTTGAGAGAGAGAGAGAGAGAGCACATGAGAGGGGGGAGGGTCAGAGGGAGAAGCAGACTCCCTGCCGAGCAGGGAGCCCGATGTGGGACTCGATCCCGGGACTCCAGGATCATGACCTGAGCCAAAGGCAGTCGCTTAACCAACTGAGCCACCCAGGCGCCCAGAAAGATTATTCTTGAACCACTGTGATATAAGCAAAGTCTTCTCACCCACCAGGTATAGCTTCCTCTGGTGCTTGGGGGATTTTTACCTGGGAAAAACAGGTGTTTCTGGGACTTGAGGGAATTGGACAAAATTGCTACTAGATTCTTGCTTGGTGTCACTTTTGTTACTCTAGTCAAAAACAACCTTTCCCACATACAGAAAAGATTCAGTCTTTTCCTCAAGGATCTTATATTCATCTTTATTTCTTGGAAGAACTGGATTTTTTTAACATTAACTTTTTTCATGGAAAACTTCAAACATACCCATCACCCAGCTTCAACAATTATAAATATGATCACTTTTATTTTATCAAAAGAGCAGTTTTACAAAAAAAAAAAAAATTCTAGTAGCACTGTTCTTCCCAGGTACATATATTTCCACTGTTATATACCCACTGGTAACTCGACTGTGAGTTCCTTGAAAGCAGCATCTATAGTTTATTATCAAGTAACATTTAATTAAAAAGGAAAGAGAAAGAAAGAGAGAGGAAGGAAAGAAGGAAGGGAGGGAGGGAGGGAAAAGAGAAGGGGAAAGAAAGGGAGGGGAGATGGGAGAGGCTGGGAGAGGAGGGAAAGAGAGCAGGGAGGAGGGAAGAAAAGAAAACAGAAGAAAAAACCCATGTAGCAGGAGCAAGGGCTTGTTACCTCTGCTCCATGTCTTCACTGATAAATCTAAAAGCTGAATCATTTTATCCAGAAGTTCAGCTTCTCAACGTAGCTCAAACTCACCTTGTTTTCAAAGGCTGATTTACAAATATGTAATTTATATTCACTTTACGAAAGGAAAATATGCAATCCCAATTGCCAAAACAGCTGTGTCTCTTATCTAAGATGTCCTTCCTATTTGGCTCTCCTTTGCCTGAATCAAAGAGTATGTACACACTTTGACTTATGCTTGCATTACTTTTGGCAAAGCACCACTTCCTCTAACCACACTACTCCTCGCAATAACCCTTAGACCATGTCTAAACCAATATTTAGGAAATCATCAGCCGAAAGCCTCAAAGGTCAGTGATATTTTGGCATTGTCTTCTATCATGTTCTCTGAAGGGAAATAAATTTCCAGATTAGAGAGGATAAAATTCTTGAGTGATTGGCCTGATAACATTAATATTATATCCCCTTTTTCTGTTGTTTCTTTTCATCCTGTCCAAAGTCAGTATGGAATTGCCTAAAGGACCCAGATGCTTCTTGTTTGGTTTGGATTTTGAGGCTTAGGACCTTACGTCATTGATAAAAGACAGTTGCTTTGACCTATTTCCCTGGCGCTTTTGATGTTGAATTTTCCAGACACTGATAAACAGAGAGTAATATATTTTTATTGCTTTGCTTACATGCCTGGAGTGGAGTCAAACTTTGTTGACCCAGTCATGTAGACAGTTGGAGTAGTGGAAGGGAAAAAAACACGTTGGAATTATTTATGAGAAACTCTTCCAGAGTTTGTGCAGGGCTTGAAAAGGAATCATAAAAATGCTGATACAATACACCTTCTCCACAAACACCATGATTAATCCAAATTCCAATTTTTTTTCCTTCTCAGCTAAAAAATGTTAATAAACTTAAATAGCTTCAAGTTTCCAACTACAAAATCATCCTTTCTTTACACCTCATTTCTTCTCATTTCCCTTTCCTAGATTATTTCATTCTTGTCTGAATAAACCTATTGTTTATTTTTCCTTACATGGCTTTTCTATTTTCCTATAATACTGTCATTAGCATCTATTGAAGTTTAATGTCAGACACAGTTCATCTTGAGATTGCCTCATGCTGAAAAAAGTTATAAATTATTCCCACACTTTCGGGGCACCTGGGTGGCTCAGTCGGTTAAGCGTCTGCCTTCAGTTCAAGTCATGATCCCAGGGTTTTGGGATCAAGCCCTGCTCCAGGTTCCCTGCTTGGCGGGGAGTCTGCTTCTCCCTCTCCCTCTGCAGCTCCCCCTGCCTGTGCACGCTCTCTCTCTCTCTCTCTCTCTCTCCCTCTCTCTCTCTCTCTCAATAAATAAAATCTTTAAAAAAATTTTTTTCCTATACTTTCTCCTATTAATCCCATTTCTAGTATCCTAAGTTCATTAGAAAACAATAAACCACTTGCCTATTAAAACTTTATAAGTAGATCACATTTATTAAAGTAGATCACATAATAGTATAGCATCATCAATGTAATAAATATGAAAATCATAAAGAAACAAAAAATCTTCATTTTTTACCAAGTGCTACCTTAGTTTAATGTTGACTTAGGGTTGAGATTATGAAGAGTTTTCCCCGACAATACTGTTATACTGTTTTTACAGAAGGTTATTCAGTGAAAGAATTAGGGCAGCTCTCCAATATACTATATTTATGTAGAGTACAAGTCACAGAAAAAAATAACCAATTTAATAGTTTTTTTTTTTTTATTCAAGGGTCCAGGATTTATAGCTGCAATGTGGGGTGTCTTCGTGTTTAAGGAAATACAGGTATGTACAAGAAAGCGCAGATTTAGAAACCAGGTGTAGAGCTGGGTAAGAAAGGTATTTCATACTATGTTTGTGTCATTTTCTGAAAACTGTGTGTGACCCCTAAGCCCAGAGCAGAAAACACATGAATGGATTTGACAAACTCAGATGTTCAAAATGTTATCATCCCTAACAAGGAAAGAAAATACTAAAGATATGATAATTATTATGAAACATGTTTCTCTCCACCCCAGCCCCCAGTGGGAAAATGCTTTAGTTGACTTTCTTTTTTCCCTTAAGAGATTTTGGTTACATAATCCACTAAAATATGATAGAGGGAAATTTTATTTAATGTAAAACATGATAGATAAACAAGATGAAAGATTTTTTTATCCTAAAGATTAAAATATCCCTGAGGCAAATGGAATTTGGGAATAGATTTTTCTGTCGGTTCTCATGCCTCCCAAAGGCCTCCATATCAAACCAGCAATTTTATAGGAAAATAGTATGGTAGCAGGTGACTACTACCACTTCCCTTTCAAGTGTAAATGATAGTGATTTAAAACTGCATTTATTAAATAGCTATAGGATGTGTGTGTGTGTTTTCATTAAAAAAATTGTCTTAGGGGTGCCTGGCTGGCTCAGTTGGTGGAGCGTGGGACTCTTGATCTCAGTGTTGTGAGTTCTAGGTTGGGTGTAGAGATTGCTTAAAAACAAAATATTTTTAAAACACTTTTTAATTGTTTTAGAATTTTTCCCATTTACCTTTATTTGAGGAATATATGTGAATGGTATTTTTTAATAGTTTTTACTAAAAATATACGTAAATCAAAGACACTTTGTCAAGGTGTCATAGATATGTAATATTTGCTGTCTTCATATGCAGCTGCAGTAACAAATAATTCCTGGTTCTAAAAAGATCTGATGTTCCTAATCTCTGGCAACCAGAAAGCAACCTGTGTACCTGGATAATCCTTAAAATGATTATCCAATTTTAGATTTAAAATACCATTTTATTTATTCTAAGTGAAATGTTTTGATTTAGAAAGCCATAATTTGATAATACAGGATTCTCAAATTTAAAAAATAATAAATTTGTTTAGGAGATATGCACCAAGATCTTAATTTTTGTACTTTTTAAAATACCCAAGACAACTGAAAACATTTATAGACCCATAAATTGCTTCCATACACATTTCTCATTTATTTTAGTCAGGGTTGCTTTCCACAAAAAAATAATTCTATGTCAAAACATGCCATAATCTCTTTGCAAATATTTCATCTGCCTCCCAAAGGATAATGATTGCTATTTAAGAATTGGGTATTTATTATCCAGTATAACATCCTGAAGCCTTAGAAAATCACAAGTTAGCATAGCTTATTTGCAGTTATAGGTAAAAAGCACTAATGAAGAATAGATTTAATGTAAAGGATCTGAAAATTATTTTAGTCACTACTACTTTAAATAATGATACGAACTTAAAAACCCTCTTCCCTAGTTATAAGAATTTGAGAGTGAGAACCCCTAGCCATTGAGCCTAATGGTAATTCCTGAGTCCTCTAAAATGATACTAAAAGATAATCAAAGAAAGCTTTTTTAAAAAGACACCTTTAAAAAGATAGCTAAGATCAAATAGAGAAGATTTTTTTTTTAAATAAGCCATGACCAAGTAGGGCTTAATTCAGGAGTGCCAGGAAAGTTCATAATATGCAAATTAATCAGGATAATATAATATTAGGTAAACAGAGAAAAACTATGCGATAATATATATTCAAAAGACATGTGCTGAAATTAAAAACCAGTTGTTTGCTTTTTTTATTTGAGAAAGAGAGAGAGCATAAACAAGGGGGAGAGGGGTAGAGGCAGAGGGAGAAGCAGACTCCCCGCTGAGCAGAGAGACCGATGCGGGGCTCCATCCCAGCACCCTGGGATCATGACCTCAGCCGAAGGCAGATGCTTAACTGACTGAGCCACCCAGGTGCCCTAAAAACCAGTTTTTAATTAAGAGAAAACCTCTTAGAAGTGCTACAAATAGGAGAAAGTGGTCTAGCAAAAAACAGTAGCAAACACATAGCTAAAGTGAAACCTAAAATTCTCTCAATTACACCTCAATAAAGCTGGAAAAAAAAAAGGAGCTCTCTGTCAGTTGAAAGTCAGAGATTTCTCCATCACTGTTACTATTCAGTATTTTCTGGAGATCCTAGCCAGTGTGGTAAAATAAAATTAAGAAAGAGAAATAGGTGTAGGAAAGGAAATGAGGAAACTGTCATCTGCATGTAACATTATCTTCTTTAAAAATCTAAGTGAGGGGCGCCTGGGTGGCTCAGTCATTAAGCATCGGCCTTCGGCTCAGGTCGTGATCCCGGGGTCCTGGGATCGAGCCCCACATCGGGCTCCCTGCTCCGCGGGGAGCCTGCTTCTCCCTCTCCCACTGCCGCTGCTTGTGTTCCCTCTCTTGCTGTGTGTCTCTCTCTCTCTGTCCAAATAAATAAATAAAATCTTTAAAAAAATAAAAAAATCTGAGTGAATCAGCTGAAAATCTTGAAACCCAATAAGATCATTTGGTAAGGTGCCAAAATATAGGATTAATATAAAATCAATAGCTTTCTAATATGCCACCAATAACCAATTAAAAAGAGGAAAATAGGGTTACCTGTATGGCTCAGTCGGTTAAGCGTCGGGCTCTTGATTTCAGCTCAAGTCATGATCTCAGGGTCCTAGGATGGAGCTCTGCGTGGGGCTCTGCATTAGGTGGCGGGGATTCTGCACTCTGCTTGAGGATTCTCTGTCTCCCTCTCCCTCTGCTCCTTCCCTTGCTCATGCTCTCTCTCTCTCAAAAAAATAAATAAATCTTTAAAAAAAAAAAGGAAAATAAATGCTGTTAAAAACTACAAAAATTATAAAATATAGGAAAATAATCAACAAGGAATTGCTAGATTTATAAAATCATTCACTTTACCACAAAAGTTTACTATAGAACATAAGAAAATATCAGAACAAATGGGGAAGCTCACCACATTCCTGACGGAGCAATTCACCGTTGTTAGTAGGCAGTTGTTTTCCATTACATTCAGTGTGATTCCTACAAAATTCCAATGGAGTTCCATCTGAAATTGTGAGAATGAGTTCTGAAGTTTGGCCAAATATGTATGTAAAAAGAAAGAGAGAGAAGACCAAGCTGGAAGCAAAGAATGACTTTTATTGGCCTTCTGGACTTAAAAAGAAACAATTTACAAATCTGTCTGGAAACAAAACTTAAGAAGTATCCAGTGAGACTTATCATTCAGTGCAGGTGCCTAATTACCTCTTAACAGGTGGTTTAAAGGCAAGTTTTAAATGCTTCACATGCCAACTCATTTAAGAGCTATCAACTAAACCCTGAAGCCAAAATCCTATTAGAATTTTTTTTAAGATTTTATTTATTTGAAAGAGAGTGAGAAGGGGGGCCACTAGCAGGGGGAGCGGCAGACAGAGAGAGAAGCAGGCTCTCCACCAAGCAGGGAGCCCGACGCCGCACTCGATCCGAGGACCCTGGGATCATGACCTGAGCCAAAGGCAGACGCTTAACCAACTGAGCCACCCAGGCTCCCCCTGTCAGAATCTTTAAAAATTATTTTTCTTAGAAACAAGATAAGAACCTAGAGGAAAACAAAAGCAAAACACATATCTTTACGACTTTTAGGTCCTATTAGTTACGTCTTGAAGCAGTACTCAAAGACACATATTTGAAAGTCTACAACCTATAGCAATAAGAATTTAATCTGAGATCCAAGTGCTTTTTGTGCTAAAGAGTTTAATGATTTCAGTTAGTCTTAATGCCATCCGGGCACCAGTTGGAGGCTTTCCACTTCCAATACTCTTTTATGTCTGGTACCTGTTCGTCTTTGGGAAGTTTGCTTTAGAATCTTACTTTTAGCTGTTTTAAGCTAGATGTACATTATTATCTTTAGAAACACACTTTAGACACAGTGTCTACAGAAATACCAATGCAGGGAATTACAACCACAACAATTTGTAGGTCAGTAGCAACTCCCAGATAAAAAATAAGATGGTCTGTTATCTTAGTAGCTATTTCAAAGATCCAAGTTAAAAACTTTGTGCTTTGGGGAGAATGTTAGCATGATCTTTCTAAGCATTAATATTCACCTTTGACAAAGGGAAACTGTTGCTATTGCCCAAATATAATCGGTCTTTATCTTTAGGAGACTAGGCAGTTTGGACAGATTCTTAACCTCAAAGGGGAAAAATATTTCTCTCTGAGAACATCATTCTTCTGACTACATAGACAATAAAGGAGAGAGCTCAGCAAAGTAGTCACATAATTAGGTTGTATAAAGTGCTGATAATTGTTTGTCTTATTTAAGTCATTGTAGCAATTGTCTAATTCACAAAGGATATTTGGAAATCACCTGATTGTATTCATTCTTTGAGCAAGTATTTGAGTGCCTACTCTCCATCAATACTGGTATCTAGGTAAAGGTTGTAGTCTTTAAAACTGACAAGACGTCAGGGAACCTTAAAGCTTGGCAGGAGAGAGAGAGTGAGTGAGTGAGTGTGTGTTTGTGTGCAGGTGTATAAATAAGCTACTCTGTACTTGGCAAAGATTTGTGGTGCTTTCATTTGTGGAACTTGTAATAGAGTGACTTCTGGTAGTATTGATCCTCACAGTGAATCAGAAAATTCAGTTGGCCCCAGCCCAACTTAAAAGACCTCTCTCTGGTCATCAAATAGAGGTCATTTAATCCATTTTTTCCCAATTCTTTATGAATTTGAAGAAAGAGGATATATGCTTTTTGGAATGTGGGCTATGTATTAATTAATGCCCACTATGTATGTGGGCATTAATCTTAATAAGAGATAAAAAGAATATTACATGATTTGACTGTCAGGAGATCTCAGTGTTGTTTTAGAATTTATATCCAAAGTTAGGGAGGTACTGGTCCTGTTTTACTTTGTGATGTTCAAACCTTGCCTTAGAGCATCAGGACTTATATTTAAAGAGGGACATAGACAGTGTGGCAACCATTCAGATGTGAACAGCCAGGGAGCTTCAAAGTATTTCATATGAAACATGGTCAAAGGAGCTAAAATACTGATCTGGAAAAAAAAAATAAAAGCTTTAAGAACATAAGACAGTTACTTTTTAATGTTTGAGGGTTTATCTTGTGGAAGAGAGATTAGAATCGATCTATCTGTACCCCTGGAGATAGATAGAACTTACAGTAAATAGGGGCACCTGGGTGGCTCAGTCGGTTAAGCGTCTGCCTTCAGCTCAGGCCATGATCCCAGGGTCCTGGGATCGAGCCCCACATCGGGCTCCCTGCTCGGCAGGGAGTCTCCCTCTCCCTCTCCCTCTCCCCACTTGTGCTTTTTTTCTCATTCTGTCTCTCTCAAATAAATAAATATTTTTTTAAAAAAGAACTTTCAGTAAATAAAATATCTCTACTTAACACAGAAAGGTACTTCTTTGTTAGGGTCACCTAAGTAGCTTAGCCAGTTAGGCATCCAACTCTCAATTTTAGCTCAGGTCATGATCTCAGGGTCGTGAGATGGAGCCTGGTGGTCGGTCAAGCTCTGCACTCAGAATCTTTTTGAGATTCTCTCTCTCCCTCTGCCCCTTCGCCCTCTCTAAAATAAATAATAAATCTTAAAAAAAATAAGATATTTCTTTGTTAATCAAAGATGGACTGGCTACGTTGGGAAGTGGTTGTCAGTGTTTCCCGTCTTTAAGACCAGCGCACCTACCCATAGCTGGGCAAGACAAACTTAGTCTCTCTGTTTCTTCCTCACCCTTCAGATCCATCTCTGTCTCTCCATCTGCACCTCATCATCTGTGCCCAGGAAGGCTGTAGTTGCCTCCTTCATTATCTCCTTGCATCCATCTGGACCCCTCCAATCTGTTCACCATCTGCAAGAGAAGGGTGGGCTTTATGAAATGTGAATCCCATCTTTTCACCATATCTGGCTGCCTGTTTCTTTAATGTCTTCCCATTACTTGGAAAAATAAAACCCCAAAGTCTACATGGCCTATGAGATCCCCATAAGCTCGGGCCATAGCCCTCCAACCTAGTTTTGCTCCACTTAATCCTCAGAGCTGTGGTCACACTGACTTCTTTTCAATCCCTGGCAAGTATCACACTTCATCTTACAACAGAGCTTTGCACATAAAATGCCTTCTACCTGGAATCCCTACTTGTTTCCCTGCCCGATTAATTGGTACTTACAGTTAGAAGCTTAATTCCTCACCGTCCAAACCAGCCTCACTAAGATTCCTTTGTAACACCCCTCAGAAACAATCGTGGTCATTTCCTTATTAATACCCCTCTCACTTTGTAACATTCTTTTCTGTGATGATTAACTTCTATCTACCATATTATATGATTATCTCAATAAGGGCACATTTTGCTTGCCATTTTAACCCCAGCACATGCTGATGCAAAGTGGGTGCCCACATGTATTTACTAAGTGGGTGAATTAGGAATGTTCTAATGGGTTTTCAAGAGAATCTGGGTGATAACTTGGAGGGATAGCAAAAGGCACACAGGTGGCTGGAGCAGATGGTTAGTAAGGTCCCTAGCAATTTTGATATTCTGTGCTTTCTGCATATTTGATTCAGATTTTCTTAATTACACTTACCCTTTTTTATCATTCAGGGTCTACAAAACTACCTATTGATGATATTTGCATTTTTCATCATCTTGAGTGGAGCATTATGCACTGCTTTCTCTAAACTCTAACAATCACAAGACCGGCAGATGGCAGCAGTGGGTAAGAGAACCCTGCTACAGGACTCCGAGGGATCATGCTGAGAAGAGAGTTCATTTTCTTAAAGCAAATGGATCTCAACCGGTCTGGGTAAATGATTTTTTTTTCCCACAGATGTGAGAATAAAGGAAAACTAAGTTTCGGTCAAGTATAAAAATGGAAAATTCTTCTAATGAACTATTTATGATGGTAGGACTTTACTGGGTGACTAAAATGTCCGCCTTCTTACAGCATTACAGCTGAGAGTGCTCCTTTTACCACAATATGTACTCGGGGTTGCATAAGCAGCAAAACAGTGTGGAGTTCATATACACAAAGAATTTTGTGTATATGAAAGTTTCCAACATATTACCAAGTTTCCAACATATTACCCTCGTTAATGCAGAGAGGCAGAAAAATGTTGGGGAGAGACCTTACCTTATAATGGAATTAGATTCCAAAGCTATCTAGATCCTTTGCCAGAAAAAGTAAACGTCAGAGTCAGTAACTGAATATGAAAAAGGCCATTTCATTTTTTGCCCAAACTTATTTTTACTTCAAATTAATATTGCTCAACTCTACGTCACCCCCTCAAAATGCTTTTGATCATCTCCAGATAAAATCCACCTTCAGAGAACAAAAATTTCCAACCATTGAGAATATGTGTATAATACATATACAGACATATACAGTTACACGTAAATACACACATATATGTCTGTGTGATTCCAAACTTGGGAGAAATTCTACAGTTGCTATAGTGAGGGTCTAGATTATTAGAATAAGAATTTGCAGGGACCAAACACTTATTTGTATGTAAAAATTTTTTTTTTCTGAAATATGCTTTTCTAAAATCCCTTTTTAAACTGGAAGTTTTCTTCCACTTTTAACTGGTGGTTTTCATTAGGGAAAAAAAATAATGGACATGTTATTTATATATATATATTCAAAAGAGACAGAATACCACTAACCCAAATGGGTTTCATCTTCATTGTATGACTTTGAAGAAGTTCCTGAGCCTCCTGTATCAGATTCCTCATCTATAAAATGGACATAATGATAATGATAATATAATGTTATTGTAAGGTTCAAATTAATTAAAATCCGTAACATGCTCATGAGTATCTGGCACTTGGCAAACATTGTATAATTCTTAGCTATAATTGTTATTTACTGTTTGAGCAAGAAAATGTGTCTATAGATTGGAGAATGTTTTGTAAGAGCTACTGCTCTCACCACCAACCTAAACAACAAATTATTATTCATTCCTGTATTTGAGTGCAATTTAAGTAATGATACTGGAGTCTCTATTTCATTATTGAATTCTTTGATTGTAACACCTTACCAAAACTCATTTTAATTTTAACCTGAAATATTAATTATGTTGATAACTTTAAATAAATTGACATGGGGCGCGCCTGGGTGGCTCAGTCCGTGAAGTGACTGCCTTCGGCTCAAGTCATGATCCTGGAGTCCCTGGATCGAGTCCTGCATCGGGCTCCCCACTCAGCAGGGAGTCTGCTTCTCCCTCTGACCCTCCCCCCCTCACGTGCTCTCTCTCTCTCTCTCATTCTCTCTCTCAAATAAATAAATAAAATCTTAAAAAAAAACATTGTTAAATAAATTGACATGACACAAAAGCTATTTTGCTAACTTAAATATATTTTCAAATTTCATATTGATAGCATTTAATTATTCTGTAGTTGAGAATGCCAATTTATATGCAAAATTTTAAATGTGAAATAAGGCAATTGCAGAAGAAAAATGAAAAAAAAATCTTATTACCACTACACAGTTTCTGCTACCACACAATGCTTTTAGTGTTAGTAAGAGGTAAGAGTAGTGTGGGGGAAAAAAACAAGCTTTTCAAAATGGTTACCATGCAGAAAACTTACTATGTAGAAGTTAGTCTAAACAGGTGATTACCAAATCTCCACTTTCTTTGCTCAATTTAAGAAGTTAACACCTATCTCTCTAGAAGTTTTTTTGTTGTTTTTTAATGGGGATTTTTATTATTATTATTATTCATTTGAGACATAGAGATACAGAGAAAGAGACAGCATGAGCAGGGGGAGAGGCAGAGGGAGAGGGAGAAGCAGGCTCCCTGCTGAGCCAGGAGCCCGATGCAGGGCTCCATCCCAGGACCCTGGGATCATGACCTGAGCCGAAGGCAGACGCTTAACCATCTGAGCCACCCAGGTGCCCCTCTCTAGAAGTTTTGAGGCTTTGTTTTTCCTTGTCTAGTATGGTCAAATTCTTGGCTTGGCTTTCTGTCTCTATTTATAGAGAAGGTACTACCTTAAGTAGGGAAGTGGTAGCCCAATGAGACTGGCATCCAGATTATGGGAATTGTTTATTATCAAAATAAAAATTCCTAATTTCTCAAAATTCCTAATGAGTTTTATGGAATTATTAAGTGCAGCATTTCCCCAGAGTTACCAAATCTCCATGTATTCCTCTTGTATTCATTTATTTGTACTTAGAATTGCTAACTACTAGACCTATATGTATCAATATTGGTGAGCTGAAGAACACATTGAATTAAAAAGGCAAATTGTATAATCATGTGCACAGTATGATACCATTTAGGTAAATTTTTAAGAATCAAAGTAATTTATATTTTTGTCTATAAATACCTATATATGCAAAAAATTAGAAAAATACATATACAAATCTCATAATAATGTTTGCCTCTAGTGGGGATGAATGAAATAAGAATGGCAACACTGGGGTCAATGTAAACTTGAGCATTATCTATAACACTAATTTTTATAGCAATGAATTCATATATTTGTTCTTTAATATGTGTTAAAGAGTCAATAGCAAAAGAGCTCAGAACATGTGTCTAAATATTAAAGTAATTAAGACTAGCATCTGGGTGGCTCAGTCATTAAGCGTCTGTCTTCGGTTCAGGTCATGGTCCCAGGGTCCTGGGATCAAGCCCCGCATCGGATTCCCTGCTCAGCAGGAAGCCTGCTACTCCCTCTCCCACTCCCCCTGCTTGTGTTCCCTCTCACTCTGTCAAATAAATAAATAAAATCTTAAAATAAATAAATAAGTGAGACTAAGTAAGGAAAATATGGGTGTATTTTATTTTTCTCTTCATTTTTTTAGTACTTTTTAATTTCAAAGCAAGCATGCACACACACATGCACACACAAATAAAAGAGATCAAGGCAAAGTTGAGAAATTTTCCAACTTAAAAGTTTCACCTTCTAAAGATAGAATCTAGAAACTCACTTTTCTAGCCTCCATTGCAGTAGGATGTGTCATTCCTGATTAGGTAGCCTCCAAATAGACAAAAGTAATCTAAAATGACAGAAAACAAATTATGGTAGCCTGAGGCATGAGGGTTAACTGCAAAGAGTATAGGGAACTTTATGGGTTGCTGGAAGTGTTCTGTATCTAGGTTGTAGTGGTGATTACATGAGTGTATATATTTGCTCATAACACTGTCCACCTAAGTGGGAGAATTTTATTGGATGCAAATTATACCTCATTAAAGTTGATTAAAAGTTGATTAAAATAGGCTATATTTGTGTGTGTGTGTGTGTGTGTGTGTGTTTTAATGAGGACAAATTTCTTTTCTTTCACTATTTAAGGAATTTTTATTAAAGCAAGAATTTTATAATCCAAATTACGTTTCCTTACGCAGTTATCAATAATGTTATTTAAAACAGGAGTGACATTCTGAGCTATTCCACAGTAAAGAATTACAAAATTAAAGAAAGGAATGCTTTAAATTTTTGTACTTTGCTTAAAAATTCTTTTTCCCAGGGTCTATAAAACATTAATTTGTTTTTATATTTTACTATTTTCTGTGGGTTTTTTTGTTTTTGTTTTTAAATCAATAAGTAATCTAGGACTAGCATTCTGTTTGCTAGACCTGGCATTTGCTCGGTACATAAGGTTCAAAGTTTCCTTTCCTTTATTTATTTATTTTATATTTTGCAATTTTTTTTCCATAATGTTTAAGTTTTTCGATGTTTAGATATTTTTCCTCGGTGAAGCACGGGTTTCTTTTCATGGTCCTGATCAATTTTAAACAGTTGGAACACCAGTGGCACTGTTTACTGCTTCCTGGGCAGCCTCTTTAGCTTGGTGGGCTTGTGGAATGGCTACAGCTTCATCAACTTTAGAATGGAGACTCTGGAGACTCCAGCATATGAAGAAGTTCTGGATTATCAGTCTCCAACAACATGCCAGTGATTTTACCAGCAAAAGTAGGGTGCATGGCTTGAATTAGAGGAAAGAGCCATTCACGGTGAATGAGGCCAACTTTCTGAAACAAGGGTTTTAGGTAGCTCACAGAATATCCAGTAGGACCATGGAATTGACCTTGGAGGCTACATAATCAGGAATGACACATCCTACTGCAAGAAAGGATGCTATATTTTGTGAAATTTTTTTTTTTGCATCTTTTGAGATGATCATGTTTTTCTTTTTACCCTGTCAATATGGCAAATTACATTGATTACTTTTCAAATGTTAAACCAATTTTGCATTCCGCAGTAAACACTACTTGGTCATGATGTGTTTTAGCCTTTCTCTATATTGTTGGATTTAATTCGCTTTTGTGTTCATGATGGATATTGGTCTGTAATATCAGGGTAGTGGCTTTAAAATGTTTGCTAAGAATTGATACTATTCTTCCTTAAATGGTTGGTAGAATTCAAAAGTAAAGCTATCTAGGCCTCATTTTCTTTAACATATATAGGTTGATTCAAGTCATCTATTTCTTCTTGAGTGAATTTTCTCAGTTTTTGTCTTTCAAGGAATTTACTCATTTCATGTACATTGAGACATTATTAGCATAATATTATTTATAATATTTCTTCATTCTCCTTTTCATATCTATAGGATCTATAGTGATATCCACTTTCTCATTCCTGATATTGATAATTTGTTCTCTTTTTATGAACATTCTAGCTAAAAGTTTATCAATTTTATTCCATCTTTTCAACAAATTAGCTCTAGATTTCCTTGAGTTTGCCCTGCCCTGTTTTTTGCTTCAATTTCATCGATTTGTGTTCTTCTCTATTATTTATTCTGTTTCTTATAAGTTTTTAACTTGCTCTTATTCTCCACCCCCTTCCTCTTTTTCTAGATCTCCAATTATACATACATATATTCTACCTGCCTTGACCTTCCCAAATTCTTATTTCTATCTACTCAATTCAGGGAGCCTGTTGGGCCCTGTGTTCCCCCTTACAGCACTGCAGCCTGCAAACTCTATCTAGGCAGTAAAATTGAAAAATTACAGTGCTCAACCTATTTGTTTCCCCTTCTGACAAGGATCATGGTCATGTCCTGCCTGTGGTCCAGTGTTTCATACATTTTACCCATTTTGTTATTTCTTTAATGTATAAAGATTAACATGGTTCCTGTTACTCCATCTTTACCAGAAGTGGAAATCCTCTGATTAGCATTTTGTTACATTTTAATTTCAATTTCTCTTTTGTCACATTTTCATGAACAGCAACATCAAATAATAATTAGTCATTGTAGTTGGTTGAATATGGCTCCCCAAGAAATATGTCTAAGTCCTAATTTCCAGTACCTGTGAGTATGACCTTATTTGGAAATAGGGTGTTTGCAGATGTAATTAAATTAAGGATCTCAAAATGTGATCATCTTGGATTTAGGATGGACTCAAAATCCGATGACTAGTATCCTTATAAGAGAAAGGAAAGAGATTATTTGATACAGAAACACAGAGAAGAAGGCCACATGAAGATGGAGGCAGAGATTGGAGTGATGTAACTACGACCCAAGGAAGGTCAAGGATTGCGGGAAGCCACTGAAAGCTGGGAGGCAGGCATGGAAAGGGGTTCTCCTTCAGATCTCCTAGAAGGAACCAACCTTGCCAGACTTTTAGCCACTAACTGTGAGTGAATAAATTTCTGTTGTTTTAAGCCATCAAGTTTGTGATAATTTATTGTCCCATCCCTAGGAAACCAATCCAGTGAGCATACAAAATAAGACGCACGAATGCAACCCATAACCTTTAATACTGGCAATACTTCTACTCGGATAAAGATGTTGGCTAAGCTGCAAAGCAAACATAGAATAAGTAGAAAAATTACATGTTGTGGAGGTCTCAGAAAGTGGCTTTTTGTCTAACAGAGTTGAGTATTTCATCTTTAGATAGTACAAGATGGGGCATACCTCTCTTCCTCTATAAAATGAAATAGAATGTCAGGTGATTTTTGTTTGTTTGTTTATTTTTAAGGAAAACAAAACAAAACGAACGACCTGGAATGTTGTATAAAGCATTTTAGGCACACATCTCTGTATAGAAAAAGCAGTAACAGGGATTAAATAAAACGAGTAGAATCTTTTTTTTTTTTTTTAAGTTTCTTGATATTGACAGGAAGATTCTTCTTGCAGACAAAGGCCATCAGAG